CTCCTTTGTCAAAGATGAGATGGCTGAGTATGTCTGGAGTTGTTTCTGCATCTTCTAATCTATTCCACTGATCATTGGGTCTGTTTCTTTGCCAGTACCATGCTGTTTTTATCACAGTAGCTTGTAGTATAGTTTCAAGTTGGGGATTTTGATACCCTCAGCCATGTCTCTGTTGTCTAGAATTGCTTTTGTTATTCTAGGTTTCTTCTGCTTCCAAATGAGTTTTTGGATTGTTTTCTCTAGTTCTGTGAAGTATATTTTTGGAATTTCAATTGGTATTGCATTAAATCTATATAGCAGTTTTGGAAGTATGGCCATTTTCACTCTATTGATTCTTCCTACCCAGGAACAAGGGATGTCTTTCCATTTTCTTTTTTTCTTTTTTTTTTGGTACTGGTGATCGAACTCAGGACTTTGCGCTTGCGAGGTTTCCATTTTCTGATAGCCTCTTTGATCTCCTTCAGAGTGCTGTAGTTTTCAGTGTAGAGGTCTTTTGCTTCCTTTGTTAGGTTGATTCCTAGATATTTCATTTTTTTTAGATGCTATTATAAAAGGAATTATTTCCCTAATTTCTCTCTCAATGGGTCTGCTATTTGCGTATAAGAAGGCTATTGTTTTTTGAGTGTTGACCTTATATCCAGCTATTCTACTGAATCTCTGACTTGATATTTTCTTAATGGAGTCTTTGGACAGAAGTCTAATTTGTCATTTTAAAATGTATAGTTAGCACTTTCTAGTACTTACTGTCTGGGAAAATCTTGGAAATTTTAAATGTTTTTAATGGTCTTTGTTTGTTTGTATTTTTTTTTTTTTGGTACCGGGGATCGAACTCAGGACCGCTTGTGAGGCGGGTGCCGGAACCACTGAGCTAAATCCTGGCCCTGTTTGTTTGTATTTTGAGATAGGACCTTGCTGTTGTAGTCCAGCTGACCTCGAATTCCCAACAGTCCTGCCTCAGCCTCTTGAGTGTGGAAATTACAGGTGTGTATCACCACGCCTGCCATTTTGTGATTTTTAGACTTTAAATTTTAGGTCTGATGTCTCGTGAGTTACATTTGTGTGTGATGTGGCACCGCGTGCTTATCCAGCTCCAGTTGTTGTAAAGGCTTTCCTTTCTTCTCAGGAGTCTCATTAAAATCAGTTAATTGTTTCTTCCTGGGCTTTTACTTTGTTGCTCTGATTATTTGCATGGTCTTCAGTCCCATACTGTCTGGATCGCTAAAGCTTTTAACCCCTTGTTGACGCCCACTGGGGCTTGGGTTCCTGATAGCATTAGCTCCAATGTGTGACGTGAAGCAAGAGAAAATCTTGGTGACTGGTAATGGAGGTCAGTACTAGAGCACTTTCCGATCACTGCAGGGCCCTGGGTTTGATCCGGAACGCATGCACACACACGCGTGCACCCCCCCACACACCATACACACTCTGCAAAACCAAACCAACACAATAAAACCTCTTATTTTTCTAGCCCTTTGCTCTCTGTCCACCTTTCAGTTGTCTTCCTTTTCAGTATATGTGCACATGTACCCATTCGCCACCTTACTGTTCAAGGATGGGTATGAGTTAGTCAAGCAGACATGTGGAGAGAAAGCCCAGTGTGGTGGTACTCCCGGGGGTTCCAGCTACTCACAGGCTGAGGCAGGAGGGTGGCAAGTTGGAGGCCAGCCTGGGTAAATTGGGGAGATCCTGTCTCAGAAAGGGGGCTGAGGATGTAGCTCAGTACTGCCTGGATTCAAGCCCCAGTACTGTTGACACGAGGGTGGGGCAGAAGGCTGGCTGGGCAGCAAAGACGGCGGGAGGCCAGGCGGGAAGCGGGGCTGGGGCCTGCTCCCTCTATTTGTGCGTCCAGGCGGACCACGGTGCAGGGGCATTGAATCGTGGGAAATAGAACGCACTTCGGAAAGTTAGTGATCTGTAATTATGCAAATCATTAGACACACCATTTAACCCCAGTAAATTAATGATATAAACTGCTCGTGGATGGTTCTGATCCATTGGTGGCAAATTTATGGCACCCGTGTTGTTTTTCTTTTAAGACAAAAGATGCTAATGTACGAGTTGCTTTTTCTAAGCTAAAACCTCAGTGCTCAGGTTTAATTGCAGTGTTGGCACCTTGCGATGAGTAAGTGGGTTTTTGGTTGCAGTCTGGGCAAACTGGCTGTGCTGTGTGACTTGTGCGAAGGGGGCATCCTTCCTCGTGATGTTTGTTAACTTCATTCATGTTGTGACCAAACAAGCATGCATAATAAATTATGGAGACTAGAACAGTGATGGCAGCCTTCTAGAGACAAGTCAGAAGAAAGCCCTCTGCATTGGTGAGTTCTTTCTAAAAGAACTCCGTACTCTGCTTAAGAGCCAGAACTCTGATTTTCATCTGGCTTACTTTGCTAACACTTGGAGATCACAGTGCTGTCACCCCAGAATGGACACGGGTGACGCCTGGGCCGTAATCTGTGGTAGCACATGGAAGGGTGTCTCAGAGGGTGTGTGTGTGTGTGCGCGTGTGTGAGAACAGTCTGGCGTGTAAGTGTAAAGCGAACTGCTGCACCGGCTTGTGTGGCGTTTCTGCTTCTAGAGTGGAGTTGGTGACCCTGGGTGTTTTCTCCGCAGAGGTATGTGATGGACAGGTGACCCCGAGGCCACCCCGTCGCTGCGCTCAGGGTGCCAGCATGACCGAGTGCTTCCTGCCCCCACCCAGCAGCCCCGGGGAACACCGCAGGGCCGAGCATGGCAGCGGGCTGACTCGGACGCCCAGCTCAGAGGAGATCAGCCCCACCAAGTTCCCCGGCCTGTACCGAACGGGTGAGCCCTCGCCGCCCCACGACGTCCTCCATGAGCCCCCGGATACCGTGTCTGACGACGAGAAGGACCATGGAAAGAAAAAGGGGAAGTTCAAGAAGAAGGAGAAAAGGAGTAAGTGCTGTTTGTCTCTCTGCTCCTGAGATGTTTTAGATAAACTTCCCCCAACCGGATGTAGTCTGGAAAGATGTCCAGTCCGAGACTTTGGTTTGATTTTTTCTGTTCTTTATTTTTCAGAGTCTGTTTTTGATACGGGAGTTGTGTTTCAGGGTCTTAATCTCACAAATAAAAATACCTAATTTCCAGAAGTGGCAGTTTTCCAGTGGATAGTTTTTGAAGTGTTTGTTCAGAATAACTTGAAAAGTGGGTCCTGGAGTTTTGCACTGACAGTCTCACTTTGTCTGCTGGGTCTGGGTGCACTTTCCTGGGTCTGTGAAGAAAGCAGTGCGGTTTTCTTAGAGGCAGCCAGGACCCCTCCCTCCACCCAGACTCTTGGGCAGCGGGAGGGAGGAGTCTAAGCAGAGGTCTTTAGGGTGTTAAGCAGAGAAGGTGACTAAGTACTTTGGATTTCATGATGCTTTTAAGTTGATTTATGCACAAATGGTGTACAGCTTGATGGGACCACGGCTCGGCCCTGAAAACAGCACTGTGGGCCTCGCAGTTCCCCTGGCCGCCTTGGAGAGGGGACCCAGCTGTCTCCTGCACGCTGCTGTACCCCGTCGTGCTGCCTGACTTACGTGGTGGGGCGTCCTTCCTCTGGTGTTGTCTCCTTGGCCCAGTGTGCTGTTCGTGAACTCACTCTTGCTGTTCCTGTGACAGCGATCTGTCCGTCTGCCTGGGTGCTTTCCTGCTGACACACTGGAGCTTCTCCTCTCTGCTGTTCTTGGTCGTTTGCTGTTTTCAGTGTTTGACTGTGATGAGTGGTGCTTCTGTGAACAGTGCACATGCGCCTTTTCGGTGCGTATGTGCACATTCTTGTTGGGCGTGCCTGCACGGAGCTAGGCCCAGTGGTGTGCACGTGTGTGTGTCTGCTGTGTGTGCCCGCGTGGTTTTGCCCCATTAGTGTTCGTGTGTGCGCGTGTCTGCCGTGTGTCCTGTGTGGCGTGCAGGCTCCCGGGCGTCAGAGAGGCTTCTGGAGTCATGGCGCCGTTTACATCCCCAGCAGTGTGAGGGCTGTGCTTTCCACCGTGGCATTTTGTCCTTCAGATATTTGCCATCTCCTCTGGGAAAGAACACAGGTAGGGAGGCTCGGGGCACCATCCTGTAGTCCCACCTGCTCAGGAGGCAGAGGCAGGAGGATCATTTGAGGCCTGCTCTCACAAGTGGACGCAAACTGAGATGACTGATGTGGTGTGAAGCAGGCGGGGTCTCGGTCAGTGCGGAAGCAGCTGGTGTGGGGACCCAGCCGCCGGGTCTGCCGTCGTCTACACAGGAGGGCGCCTCCCTGGGCAGGCCGCAGCCACTGTGTCTGCAGGGAGAACTGGCCAGCTGGCCACAGAAGCACCCGCGTGGCATGGAGGTGACGGGAGCCAGGAGCACAGAGGAAGCGGTGCAGCTGGCGTCCTGCTAACAGGGCCCAGTCCCAGCCTCCCCTGTGGGAGAAGCGCACATGAGGGGAGGATGCGGTTTCTCAGGGTGCGTTCCGTTGGGCTCTGTGTAGAGCCTGGCGCTGGCGCGCGTGTGGACTTTTGGCTCCGGGTTGCTGTACGGCACAAACCAGCGTCCGCTCCGGGGAGCTGCCAGGGTTCAGGCCGGCGCCCGTCTCCCTCTTGTGGCCGGTCGCTGTCACTGCAGTCTTCCCTGGCTGAAAGATCATTTCTTTTGCAGGGTGCCCAGGGAGGTAGTGCCGGCAGGCACTTTTTTGATGGTCCCTTTTTAGGAAGCACACAGTCTGCGGCTAAACAGTTGTCTAACGTACACCCTTGCATTGCTTTGGCAGCTGAAGGCTATGCTGCCTTCCAGGAAGACAGCTCTGGAGATGAGGCCGAAAGTCCTTCAAAGATGAAGAGGTCCAAGGGCATCCATGTCTTCAAGAAGCCCAGCTTTTCTAAAAAGAAGGATAAGGATTTTAAAATAAAAGAGAAACCCAAAGAAGAAAAGCATAAAGAAGAAAAGCACAAAGAAGAAAAACATAAAGAAAAGAAGTCCAAGGACTTGACAGCAGCTGATGTTGTTAAACAGTGGAAAGAAAAGAAGAAAAAGAAGAAGCCTATCCAGGAGCCGGAGGGGCCTCCGCTCGACGCGCCCAGCCTCAGGCCCATCTTTGGGATTCCCTTGGCCGACGCGGTGGAGAGGACCATGATGCACGATGGCGTCCGGCTGCCGGCCGTCTTCCGGGAGTGCGTGGACTACGTGGAGAAGCACGGCATGAAGTGCGAGGGCATCTACAGGGTTTCAGGTACGGCTCGCGTCGTCGCGTGCTCACCTGCACTTCTCAGAGGCAGGAAAACCGGTGCTGCACGAGGACCCTGATCTGATCGTGTCCAGGTCCCTTCCACCCCAGACTCTTCCCGCGTCCTCGGTGCTGGGCGTCCCTGCCCACAGCAGCAGCAGCGCAGCAGCGCAGCCCCTTGCGCCGGCCCTGCAGCTCACACTCAGCACTCCGTCGGCTTTTGTTTGAGAGATTGAGTTACACATCCACCTGAGGGTCTCATGCGTTTCCGGGCTGAACTAGTCTACATATATACTTAGGGTCCATAGGTTAGACAGTTTTTCCACTTAGTTGGTTCCTATGCATTTCCAGCAGGCCGAGGAAGGGCGGCTGCTCTGGATGCTTGGGGAACCCTCTGTGTGCCCCAGTAGGCAATAGGCTGTCACTTAAGCATATTTGGGCTGCACTGCTACTGCTCTAGAGGAAATAATGTAAATCAGGCAGTGAATTGGAAGTCATTGTTCCTTAGCACATAGAATGCACTTTAAACACATATTTGAGTTCGATTTTTAAGAATAATGTATGATGAGCTGCTTTATAAAATATTTAAACAGTAATGGTATAAGCTGTTCCCCTCACCCAGTCTTGGTGACCATGAAGGAGTTTTGTTTCAGGCAGAAGTTTTCCTGAAAGCTTCTGCAGGGTTGTTCAGAGGGTCCTCTTCTGCCTCTGACCTGTGTCTGAGCTGACGCGTGCACCCCTCCGGAGTGTGCCTTGCAGGGCGTCTCTGTGTGAGCTGCTCACCGAGCTGTCCCCCGCGGTGCTCCTGCAGAGCGGGCTGCTCCCCGGGGACTTGCCTTCTCGAAAGCCAGTAGTAGAACTAGTTTCTGCCGGAGAGCTTTGGTTCTCATTCATGAATCAGTTGCAGTTTAAAAACTGAAGTGAAAGACAATTTAAGTTACTTTATGTTTTTTAATTGACTTGTCTGTGTTTTCTTATTCTTTTCATTAAAGTGTACCTGACACTCTTTCTCTCTCTCCCTGGAATTCTTTACTTGAAGTGTCCAGCTTTTAAAAGTTGTTAGCATTTCCAGAGTAACAAGAAAGCAAATGTAGTCAGATTGTCTGAAGATAATCTGATTGGCTTTGTAGGCACTGTGGGTGGAAAATTAAATGTATTTAAAGCAAGTACATTATGCTGTTTTTGTTTTGTTTTGTTTTGTTTTGTTTTTTTGGTATTGGGGATTGAACTCGGGTCCTTGCGCTTGCGCAGCAGGCGGTGAAACCACTGAGCTAAATCCCTGGCCCAGCAAGTACATTATGTACATGAGATGCTGCATATCTATCTCATGTGTGTTTGACAGAGATCTTTGCTAAGAATTTCAGTTATTGTTCACCTGGTTTTATTCATTGTCATAAGAAATGGAAATTAATTTTCTAACTTTTCTGTCTCAGAGATTATGCATAAAGATTCTTATTGTTATTTTTGTATTTGGGGCCATTTGATTTTACTGTCAGTGCTGGATAAATTAAGATTTACTTATACCATTGAGAGGTTTTCATGTAAGACCAGGAATGCCAAAGCCCAAATGTGAGCTCTGTGTTGACTATAAAATGCTGTTCAGATCAGAGGACAGTTGCTGTTAGAAAGTATTAGCCTTCATTTGTGGCTTGATTCAAATAATTGGCCTGACATTTAAGCTCAGAGCTGGTTTGTACCCTAATAAGCAGCCTCTGTCACTGAACAACATCGCCTAGTGCAGGTTGGAGTGAAGACGTCGTACCTGATGCAGTGTTTGAAAAACACTCACTTCATGTGTTAGTTTCTTTCTGTCCAATAGGAAAACCCAAACAATTTGATTTTAGAAACTCAAACTTGAATTGTTTTGTTCCAGCTTTGTTTGGATTAAGAAAACACTTTAAAAATTCAGATAGAAATTAAGTGGGAACTATTGAATGGGAAATAATTTTCGAAGAATTCATTTGATAGGTAACTTACTTTTTGTATTTGTTTACAAATTTTACTTATACAAATTGACTCACCTACAACTTTTGCGAACATACACAGTGTGAGCCAGGTTGCATTTTAGGGCATCAGCCTTATGACAAGTGAGAAAAAGCAGTCGGCTCATGTTGGGTTGTGGTTCAATTCTTCCCCAGGTTCCTGTGTGGCTCCCGTTAGACTGTAAGCGCTTTGTCAGTGGGCGTTAATACATCCACCTCGCTTGCTCTCCGGAGTGCGCGCTGCCCTTTGGATGCAGCTCATCCTGCACTGCACGCTCGGAGGCAGTGCAGGCGCACAGGGAGATCTCCCCATCTGTCAGGAGGGTGGTGTCACGGTGAAGAAAGCTCTGTGTCCATTTCCTGCCCGCTCACTGTTCTCCTGTCCTCTTCTGGAAATGCCTTAAGGAATTAAGTCCAAGGTGGATGAGCTGAAAGCAGCCTACGACCGTGAGGAGTCTCCCAACCTGGAAGACTACGAGCCCAACACCGTGGCCAGCCTGCTGAAGCAGTACCTGCGTGAGCTCCCGGAGAACCTGCTTACCAAAGAGCTCCTGCCGCGCTTCGAGGAGGCATGTGGGAGGGCGGCGGAGAGCGAGAAGGTGCAGGAGTTCCAGCGCCTGCTCAGGGAGCTGCCCGAGTGCAACTGCCTCCTCGTCTCCTGGCTCGTCGTGCACATGGACCACGTCATCGCCAAGGAGCTGGAGACCAAGATGAACATTCAGAACATCTCCATCGTGCTCAGCCCGACCGTGCAGGTACCGCCTTCTGTGCGCGCCCTCGGCTCTGCGTGGGAGGCGGGCACAGTCTGACGCTTTGTTTCTGGTTGTGGTGCTACGTGGGCTTGAATCAAGGCCTTGTGTGTGCCAGGTAAGCGCTAAGCCACTGAGCTGTGGTGGACCGCAGAGCTTGTCCTTCATGATGCAGATGGCGTTGACATTTAATAAGGAGCACATTTGCTGCTTGGAGTGCAGCTGTGAAATTCGTGAGTTTGGGAGCCGGCCCCGGATGTTGGTGATGTCAGTAGTAGGGGACTCTGGGTCCTGTAACTACAGCGCTCAGCTGTAAGGTTGTAAATGTTCCAGGTATTTCATCAGGCAGCATGATTGCTCAGTTATATCACATACAGGTCCAACTCAGGCACCAAGGGGGCCTATATTAATTTGTTGAAGAATTTATTGAGGGTCCCATTCATAAAGACTGATCTCAGAGCTGGAGGCTCAGGCAAGAGGGTCACAGATTTGAGCCCAGCCTGGGCAGCTTAGCAATGTAGTGAGGCTTACAGAAAAGGCGGGGGATGTAGCTCAGTGCAAAGGTCGGGTGAAAGAGGTGGGCCCCAGAGAGGCGTGCCACCAGAGCCCTTGTCTCAGCAAGGCTTGTGGGCACAGTCTTGCTTGCCGTTCATGCACAGTACACGTTTGGCCTCCTTTGACCTTAGTCTAAAAAAAACAGGACATAATAGTTACATTTTTAATTTCAACTACTTTTTGGCATAAATCACTTTGGCCGTAAGTCATGTCACTGTTGTAAGAGTGGGTTTTCTTTAAAGATTGTTTCATTGCTTATGTTGCTTATATTTTATAAGCAAGATGTTTCTCAAATTTCTCAAACTGAAACGATCCCTAGTCTGGATTTCAGAATCCGGTAGAGGTCCCCGTTCACGGGTGACGCGACACAGCAGGTCCAGGTTTGTTGCCAGCAGACACTGGTGGTTCCAGGCCGTGGCCTGTGGTCCCGGGCTCCCAGGTGCAGCGGGCCCAGGGGCCTTTGCCTCTGCAGCCTCCCCCCGGCCCTCAGGGGCTCTCAGCGACTGGAGACGAAGGACAGCGTGTGCTTGGACCAGGTCACCTTACAGGGATAGAGGAGGGCGAGCTGATGTAGCACTGTTGGCAGCCTTCTCAGGGCTTGTGTTCCACTTCTGTTCCGCACAGTGGCTGAACACGTGATGTGCCTCCGCTTAACCATCCCTTCTTAGACTGGCCATTAGTGGGCAGAGCCTGTCTCGTCACTACGGAGAATTTCCATTCATAGGTCCCAGGGTCCAAGCTTGCGCTGTGCGATGCACACAAATGAAGTAACTTTGTTCTTTTGTAAATCTCCTTTTCCTCCAGATCAGCAATCGTGTTCTATATGTGCTTTTCACGCATGTGCAAGAGCTCTTCGGGAACGTGGTACTGAAGCAGGTGACGAGGCCCCTGCGATGGTCCAACATGGCCACGATGCCCACGCTGCCCGAGACCCAAGCCGGCATCAAGGAGGAGATCCGGAGACAGGTGTGCCGCCTTGCACAGCTGCTGTGGGGTGGGGGCAGTGGGCTCTGCTGCCCATGTGTGACCTGTGTGTGGGGCATGTGAAGCACACATTCCCACGGGCACTGTTCATGCCACAGATGTCAGGGCCTGGGTGGGGATTTTAGATCCGAACACTGCTCTAAGCTCCTGCTCTGCTGGATAGTAACACCCTGGCTTTGTGCCTGTTGCTCAGCCCTCTTCAGCCTTGGTGGTCTTATTTTTTTCGTAATTTAAAATTTTTTTTTTGTTTTTTTTTGAGACAGGGTCTTGCTATGTAGTTCAGGCTGTCCTTGAACTCCCCTCATAGCCCAGGTGGGCCTCAAACTCATGGCGATCCTACCTCAGCCTCTCAAGTGCTGGGCTTACAGGTGTGCACCATCACGCCCAGCTGATGATGTTCTTATTTTATTTATTTATTTATTTATTTATTTTGGTACCGGGGATCGAACTCTGGTCCTTGTGCTTGCGCAGCAGGCGGCAAAACCACTGAGCTAAATCCCCGGCCCAGATGTTCTTATTTTAAAGTGCGCCCTGTCACGGGGTGCTGTGAGTTCCCGAATGGGATGACGGATGAGGCGCTTGGCTTGGCCTGGCATGTGGTCACATTTGCTTGTTTAGACGAGGCTGCATTCTTGGCCATTTTACACATAGGGAGGCTGAAATTTAGGGGAGTTAAAAACTGTCATCTGATTTCCAGGCTAGAGAACCAAGATTGAGCCCAAATTGTGCTGCTGTGACTTTGACATAGGAAACAGTGCTGTGTGTGTCACATTAAGCAATCCAGGACTAAATGAGGAATCCAGGTGCACCTGATCATTTGTATGCACATCACCACCTTGCTCTCCTCCCTTCCTCTGCTTGGAGCTCCTGGTGGTTGTCAGGGGGGGCTGTGTGAGGAGCAGGCACCAGGTCTGGGTCAGCTGCTGGTGGACCAGTGCGAGTCAGTGAACGCGAGCCTCCTTCCCAGGAAAACTAGCGAGGATGGTTCCTCATTTCCTCGGGAAGTACCTAGTGCTGTTCGCTCACTCCTGCAGTGCTAGGTGAAAAGTAGCTGATTCCACATCTTTAGGGATTGTGTGAGTTATAAAAGACACAGTAGGATGTGGGACGCTATCAGTGTGTGCTCTTATTTTCCAGGAGTTTCTTTTGAATTGTTTACATCGAGATCTGCAGGGTGGGATAAAGGATTTATCTAAAGAAGAAAGATTATGGGAAGTACAAAGAATTTTGACAGCCCTCAAAAGAAAACTGAGAGAAGCTAAAAGACAAGTGAGTTAATTTCTCATTTTGATATATCATTTATAAGAAGATATAAAAACGGGGGCCGGGGATTTAGCTCAGTGGTGTCGCTGCCTGCTCCTCAAGCACAAGGACCTGAGTTTGATCCCCGGTACCAAAAAAAAAAGATATAAAAAGAATGTGCTGGAGTCTTATACACTATTGTAAATTATTTCTCCTAAATATTTGTACATACCTGTTAAAGTGAAATTCTCTACTGGGAAGTTATCCCCTGTAGCTAGCGTTCAGGATTACCGGTGCTTCAGCTTGCTGTGAGTCAGATGTTGCATCAACTTAGAAAGGTTTTATGTTATTAAGACGATCTTACTAAGAGATGTGGCCACCTCCTGCTCAGTCACACCTCTGCTCTGCGGCTCAGGACAAGCAGCAGCAGGGTTGGTGACATCTCCAGAGCTGTGAGGGCTCGGGCTGCAGGGCGAGGCGAAGGTCCCCGGATGGAGTGTGCAGCACCAGGCTGCTGTCCTTGCCTGCCGTGTGGGGTGCTCACCGCGGGGTGCGCGTTTCAGGCGGTTGAGGCCTCTGACACCCCAGGGGCTGTCAGCAGGAGGGTCCGGGAGAGACGCCGGAGGACAGCAGCGCCCTGTGTGGTTCTCTGCCGGCTCAGACCCCGTCCAGCTGCTGTTGCCTGCTCCTGTGCATCGAAGCCTGGGCCCAGGCGCTGGAGCCGGATGGCCTGGCCCGGCCAGATGGGGCAGTGGCCGGCTGGCGCTGGGGCCCCGGGCTAGGACAGCGAGTGCAGCTTCGGCCTTCATGCCTCTTGCGCCTGTCCCTCGGTAGCGGAACCGTGCTGTGGCAGCCAGGGCCAGTGTGAAGGGGGTGCACTGCCATCCTCTCCGGTTCTCCAGTTCTCCCATTGTTGTTCCCCGTCAGGGGCTCGTGCAGTGTGAGCCTCACCCGCAGCCTTTCCCAGTTTTCTGGATGCTGCAGTTTACGCCTGCTGTCAACTCACAAACTGCCCAAAAGACTCCTGTTGGCTCTTCACCTTTGAGGGAGGCGTGATTTCTTCGAGACAGGGTCTGTGTAGTTGCAGCTGGCCTCCAACTCTCTCCTGCCTCAGCCTCCTCGAGTGCTGGGATTACAAGTGTGTCCCGCCATGGCCTGCTTAGGAGTGCCTGACTTTTAATCTCAGGTTTTAGCAGGTAAAAGTAAGAAAAACCACACAATCAGCGTGGCGTTTTCTGTAAACAGTCCCACTCCTGCGTGTGTAAGAGAAAAGCTGATGTTGCCCGACGTGTGTGCATGCGTGCTGAGGCTCTCATTCTGCAGGGCCCCTGCCCGCCTTCTGGTGAATGGTGGGGTCCTGGCTCTGTCCGCGCAGACTGGGGTACGTCTGTCCACAGCATGGTGCTCAGCAGCTGCTGATACAGACAGCACGGGAGGAGACTCAGCACGATGCTCAGGAGAGAAGCAAGACTCCGAGAGACTCCTTGCTGAGTATTCAGTTTATATGAACCTCAAAAGGAGGAGTGGGGTGTGGTGGCGCCTACTGGTAATCCTAGCACTGGGAAGGCTGAGGCAGGACGATCACTGCAAATTCAAGCCCATCCTGAACTACAAAGCGAGATCCCATCTCGAAAGAACAACAGCAACAAAAAACTGAAGGAAACCTGGTAGTGGTGGGGAGCAGGTTCGTGGGGGTATGAGCCAGCGGATGGCAGGGCTGGGGGACTCTGGTGACGGAATGTTCTGAAGAATGACGGCGGCAGTGTGGCTGCACACCTGTGTCAGAACTGACCCCTAGGCCGGCGTCCCCAGAGGCCCCAGAGGTGGCGAGCAGGGCAGACTGGGAGCCCGAGTGAATTCTGGTCCCCGCCCAGGAACAGATGTGTGTCCTTCCGGACGGCTCATGCAGTGGCATCCTGTGATTCTGCCCAGTGCTGGAAACGAGAGCAGGCTTGCGGAGTGGATGTGAACGAGTGACACGCAGGCTGACTGCTCTCTTCTGTCTTGCTGGACAGGAGTGTGAGACCAAGATCGCCCAGGAGATAGCCAGTCTGTCAAAAGAGGACGTTTCCAAGGAAGAAACGAATGAAAACGAGGAAGTTATAAATATTCTCCTCACCCAGGTAAGCAGAATTCTTTTTCTCTCTTTTATAAGACTTTTAATCATCATTTAAAAATTAAGCCTGCAAAGGTCTGCTGCAGAATCTTCTAACCTGAACCATGACGTGCAGGTGAAGGGCATTCAGCACTCGAGACCAGTGCTCTCCCACCGACCCCTTCCGGCTCTGCCCCATGTCGGCCTTGTCGTGCTTAGCCCACACGATGGCCGAGCTACACGGACTCTCCCGCGCACAGAGGCGGGCGTCTGTTCCCTGTTGGTGAGATCGCACTCCAGGAAGGATTTAGCTTGGGGTTCTTGGAGGTCGGGACTGGAGCAGGCTTTCTTCTTTGTGGGGCCGGAGGTAGTTGCTGGAGGTGGGTTGTCTCGAGACTCCTCACTGACTCAGTAAACAGGCATGGGCTGAAAATGAGCTTGTTTGTCTTTGAGTTGTCCAAGTCAGCCTTACTCTGTTAGGAAATTCCCAGGCTTTAAATGGAAAGGCGGAAGTTCCAGCCACTACACGTCTCTGTCCAGGCCTGCAGAGACCTGGGCACGTGGGTCACCAAAAGCCCTGCAGGGTCTGCTGCTCTTCCGTCCAGCAGGGACGCGGCTCCAGGCCGGGTCTTCATTCAGGGTTTCTCAGCTGAGTGCTCCCCGGTGTAGCCACAGGGGTGTGGGGCGGATGTCTGAAAGGGAAGCTGAAGACCTTTGCGTCCAGCTCCTCTTTCCCACAGGCAGATTCTGCCGCTGCCTGCACTGTCTGCCTTGGCCTCTCCTCTGGAGGCTCTGGGTCTTGGGCGAGTGATGATTCCCTGCTTTCACGAGCCTATGACTGTCAGCTTCAGGCATGGGTCCTCTGTTACACAATGTTTGTTTCCTGTCACTTGGTCTTGGGGATGGGCAGTGGACAGTGGCTTGTGGTGAGAAACGATTTCTGCACCTTCTTGCCTTGCACGGGACACTGACGCCAGCCACATGTGGCCTGGGCCCTCTCTCTCTAGTGATTCGGTGGAAGGAAGCCCCCCTGGCCCTGGGGGATGCATTTCCTGAGAGGCAGGGTGGCATTAAGCGGGTTTGTCCCTTGGACTCGTCTTTGTTCTGGTGCTGCTCCCAGGCAGTGTTGGCAGCAGGCGCCTCAGCATCCCAGTGGGTTTTGCTGCAGAGAAGCCTGGTTGCCTCTGAGTGCCAGTGCATCTCTCCTCCTGAGGGAGCCCTGCAGCGTGGCAGCACGCATGTGCAGCCAAGTGGAGACCCCCAGACGGCGCAGTTTCCCAGACTTGAGCTGCCGCCTCACTGTGACTCATTTTAGGAGAACGAGATCCTCACCGAGCAGGAGGAGCTGCTGGCCATGGAGCAGTTCTTACGCCGGCAGATCGCAGCTGAGAAAGAGGAGATCGAGCGCCTGCGTGCCGAGATCGCTGAGATCCAGAGGTAAGAAGAGCCCAGGTTGTTCAGGTTTCCAGAATGTTCACTAAATGTGATGGGTGTGGCATGCATTCTAGGAGGCTGAGACAGGAGGATTGCAAGGGAGACCCAGCCTGGGCAGCTTAGTAACTTGTTTTTGGAAAGTTGGCTTTTGTAGATTGCCTCAGCAGAATTTTTTTTTTTTGGTACTGGGGATCGAACTCAGGACCTTGCTCTTGCGAGTCAGGCTGCAGAACCACTGAACTAAATCCCCAGCCCTCAGCTTAGTAACTTAATGAGATAGCCCTCCCCCCAAAACTGTTTGAGCTCTCAGACTTTCTTGCAAAAGAATGAGGCCTATGAAATCAGTTGTCTTTAATTTCCTGTCTGTTGGGTCTTCAGAATGGTGTAGTTGCTGGGTGTGGTGGTGCACACCTGTGACCCCAGCCCTCTGGGAGGATCAGGAGTTTGAGCTCAGCCTGGGCAACTTAGCAAGAGCCTGTCTCAAAATGTAAAAGCCAGGGTGTAGCTCAGGGCCAAGGTCCTGGGTTCCACTCCCCGTGCACACACAGGACACAAACGCAGGTTCTGGTCAGCAGTGTAGTTCGGAGAAAGGGTGGCAGGCGAGAGCGCCGGGCAATGTCCCCGCCTGTCCCCAGCCGCCAGCAGCACGGCCGGAGCGAGACGGAGGAGTACTCGTCAGAGAGTGAGAGCGAGAGCGAGGACGAGGAGGAGCTGCAGCTCATTTTGGAGGATCTGCAGCGCCAGAACGAGGAGCTGGAGGTGAGCCTCGGGCCGGCGTTTCCGTTTCCGGGAGCTGTGGGGTCTCCCGTGGTCCCTGGCGGGGAGGCGGCGCAGGCAGGGATGGGGCGTGTCTTCTCGCTCGCCCACCTGGCCGCGCAGACCTCCTTCCTCCCAGCCGGAAGGCATGTCGCCTGCATGCCACTCGGGCCGCTCGGGGATGAGCAGAAACAGCGGGGCTGGGGCGGGAGGAAGTGTTCCCGGGCGGGGCGGTCCGTGTCCGTCCGTGTTCTGGCTGTGCTCGCGGGGCCCTTGCCCGGGACCGGGACGCAAGGGCTTGGAGCCAGGCGGGCTGAGCGAGGCGGCCGGCTGCCCTCTGCCTCCCCGCAGATCAAGAACAACCACCTGAACCAAGCCGTCCACGAGGAGCGCGAGGCCATCATCGAGCTGCGCGTGCAGCTCCGCCTGCTGCAGCTGCAGCGCGCCCAGGCCGAGGAGGAGGAGGAGGAGGAGGAGGAGGAGCCCGAGGAGCCCGAGGAGCCCGTGCGGCCAGCGGGCGTCCCGGAGGCCAAGCCCTCGCCCAGCAGAGAGCGGAAGGAGACGCCCATCTGAGCGCTGCCGCCCGCCGGCCGGACGCCTTCTGCCCCTGCAGCCCGTCCTGGACTCGGCTTCCCGGGACGCAGGGCCCTTCCAGATAGTGTCACCTCATTTGAAAATTAATTTTCTTCGTTAAAGTAAGGATTTTAACCTCTGAGTGGCTTCTTTTTAAACCAAAAATTGTCTGTCTTTGCTTTTTTATCACAGCAGAATCAGGATCTTTTTCACCCAGAGGCCCCGACCAGGTCGCTGCTGCGCCTGCCGGACGCTGGCCAGCTCGGGCCTGTGCGCACCGGCGCTCGTGCTTGTGCCTTCCACACCTCCTCGGTGCACAGAGGCCGGGGAGGGAGCGGCTCCTCTCCTCCGGCCAGACGGCCAGCTGGGTGTCCCTTAGCCACGCCCCTTCTCAGTCCTCAGCCTGCCGCGGGCCAGGGCCAGAGGCCTCCGCCCGCGGTGCCCAGAGGGTCCTAGCCAGACCCTCACGGACCGCCTCCGGGCAGGCCCATGTCTGCCCGGGGAGCAGGCGCGTTGCCAGATGCCCATGTCCGTGGCCAGCCTCCCGAGGGGCTCCGGCTGACCAGGTGGAGCAGCAGGAGGGCGACTTCCTCCTGTGCTCGGCGCGACTCACCCAGCCCTCGGTTCGGGTCCATGCTCGCTCCCTGGCCGCCTGGAGGCCTGGCCGGGCTGTCAGGTGAGTGGCCCGGCGCGGGCTCTCTAGAGCCTCCTAATCAGTATTTATTCCCAGCACCTGTTTGATGCGGTTCCGCTCCTACCTATTGCACTGTTGTGACTTGGCCATTATTTGATTTTTGTACGAAGAAAAGCTTTGTTATAGAAATCAGCATACTATTTTTTTAAATCTGGAGAGAAGATATTATGGTGACTGAAAATATGGTCAGGTGTCATAAATGTATAAACGCCTTGCTGTCCTATCAGACATAGTTTATTCATTTTATATTCATTGGCGGTGTTGGAGGTTTCTTTTTTGTTTGTGTAAACTCTAATGTCTGTCAAGGTGTCATGGGTTTTTTAAATTAGTATGTCATTACAGCTGTCTGATTGGTTAATTTTTTGCCAGAACCATTATTGATCAAGCAAATAAATTCAGCAGCCATTTGGGAAAAAAATGCTCTAGTATTTCTGTACCCAGTATTTCTTCGGAATAACGGAGTGCCCTGTGGCTGGGAAGGAGTTGGCGCTGGTACTGCTAGGCCAAGAGCAGTGGGGCTTTGTTCTTCTCTTGTTGCTCTCGGTCACCCCGGCCTGAGCAGCCGCTGGCTCCACTCTTCCTCGCCTGTCCCCCACCGGCTGGGCTGGGGCTGCAGTCCTCTCCTTGGCGGCGTCCTGGCCCCTGCGAGAGTGGGCTCTGCCGCGGCTGGCCCCAAGGGGCCCTGGGGTGTGCAGTTCCAGAGGTGCAGGCCCTTGGGAAGCTGGGACCGAATTACCATTTCTGGGATGGGCTGACCTGGAATAAACCGTCAATTCCTCATTTGCTTTTTCCCCTTTAAAAATTCCACACAGTGTCTGTCAAAGTGTAGACAGCTGGCTGCTTCTCCATCTTCGAGTTGAATTCTAGAGCTGGGTTTACGTACTTGAGTTCTGGTTTACACAAGGCCCCAGCACCCTGATCCGAGCATGCTTAGCACCAGGGACCTGGAGATAATGGCTTTGAGAACTGGGGTCAACTTACATGCGGGCTCTAGTGCTTGGGTGATGTTTTCCCTGCAACCATTTGTGCTAAAAAAACAGTTTTTTAGTAATGTATTAAATCACTACTTCCCTGTGTACAGGAAGTCCTGTATCCAGCCAGTGACAGTTACTGACGTCTTTAGTGCTGCAGCTAAGCAAATCAGGGTGAAATACTCCTATGGTAAAACTGCTGACAAACCTCCTGCAAATACCAAATATTGCTACATTTGTCAACGAAATCTGATAGAAAAGAAAAGACTTGTTAGAAGTAAGTCCTCCAGTGCCCTAAATGAACACGTAGCCAGAAACCTGATGACTGGACTTGTGTAAAGTTTTCTAGCACAGGTTTCCTGTGTGCTGCCCTGGGGACAGAACCCGGGCCTGACCCCAGGTACGGGCTCCAGCACTGAGCTGCGCCACCGGCCCTGAGACTTAAGGAAAAGAATTTCTGCAAGACACAATTAAAACTAATTCCCTGTAGGAAATGGACAGAGGAATTAACATGGCTTAACAGATCACTGTAGAAAACACCTTCCACAAGTTAGTTGTGGCTGGCGTGTCGGCTGAGAGTGTGCTCGAGGCCAGACCCTGTGCTGGTTAAGCAGGAAATCGGAGTTCCTGGCGGAAGGGTTTGACAGTGGCCTCTGCCCCCGGACCAGGATCGCGACCGGCCTGCCTCCTGGAACCCTGCCATGTAGGAGGGAAGGGCCCTGCCCTGGCCTCCTGCCTCCAGTGTGGGGTTAAGGGGAGAACAGAGGAGCTGTGAAGTCTTACTTTTTCACATTTATTTCCAGATCCAGTTTCTCTGGCTTGAGCCAGGATGCACCTTAAGGCCACTGCTCTGTGGAGTTGCTGGGAGCTCTCCCCCGGCTCACTGCTCATCCCGGGACTCGGCACAGGGACAGCACAGTGCCTTGGGCGCCATGGCCTTGCCCTCTTCCCCAAAGGTGTCTACCCCGTGGGTGTTGGAGGAGGCCGCAGGCCCAGATGGCCGTCAGCACACGGGCAGCGCCATTTGGCATGGCTGGGTTCCAGAAAACTGCAGGTGGACTCATACACATCCTGGTGGCCGCAGGAGACACCACTTGGGCTTCCGAGTCAAAAGCTGCAGGCAGGGAGACAGCGATCCAAGGAGTGGCACCTAGACTGGGGCTGGCCAAGCTGGTCAGGGGCACTGCGTGCCCTTCAAGGGGCGGGCAGGGGCTGGAGGTGACCAAGCAGTGTGGTCTTCCGGCTCTGGCCACCTCGTGTTGAACACTGTATCTACTTCCACTGTGTGTGACCTGCGCGCTGTTATCACAGCAGTGTGTTGCTGTTTTACTCAGGTTCACGTCGTGAAATGCGAGTATTAGCTGGCTGGGTGTTTTCTCCCCCTTAGGCAGACCCTGTGTGCTGAGGCCACACAAGAGTCCAGGACAGGGGAGTCCCATGCCACACACGAGCCCCTTGCCTGGTCCCCACCATCCCAGCGGCATTGCTGTTCAGCTGCAAGGGAGGAGCTGCTCAGGAGCTGGCCTGCCTTTCTTCCAGCCTGAATTTCTCGAGACCTTTTTAGCCGGTGAGGTGGCGGCAGCTTTGTCCTTGCTGGTAGTGTCCAGAGGTGGCCCAGGGCACTGCCCTCAGCAGCGTAGGGTCCAGTGTCATCTACAGAACTGAGGGGGGGGGAGCAGGAGTTCTGCGATAGCACTGGCTGGGAATCTGCACCTGGGGAAATCAAGCAGGCAGCCCTGCCTGTCGGCCCTGCAGAGCCCGAATGCTTCCACTTCCACTTCCGAACTCATGCCTGGGACACAGGTATGCAGATGCATTCCACACAGGAAGCGGCCTGCATGTTTTCACGACTTCCTGGGTGTGTACGGAGTAAAGCCCAACTGGTCCCAGCACCGGGAGCAGCTTGGGTTTCCACCCGCAGTGCCCTCATCTGCCTGCTCTCACTAATGGCTGCTTTCCTGAGGAGGAGAACCCAAGACAGAGGCTGACAGCTTCGGGGAGGAGGGGCTCCCAGAGCCATGCCGACTGGGACATGGGCAAGCCCAGGGACTGCCGCCCCAGGTGACAGACACTCTTCGGTCTGGTTTCTGTTTTGCACTAAATCAGGACTACAGGTCACAAATTGCATTTATTCACAGACAGGTAGAAAACAAGTATCTATATATTTCAATCAATTTCATTTGGACAGGAGAACTTGTGCCACAACCATTCTGACTGCATGATCCGGACGGCAGCACTCCTAAGTGGCTGCATGGACGCACAGCGTGGGAGAAAGTCGCACCTCGGAGCCGACCACAATCATGTCCACAACACCAGTGGACACACGCCGAGAAGTTTCTTCCGGTCATGACCAGCATGAAAAACCAAGACACATATTGAGCAAACATTCTGCAAATGTGCACAGCAATATGCTGCATTTACAAGTTAAAATCAGATTCTACTTTAGTGTTAGCATCAAGCCCTTGGGAGAAATGCACAAAAATCTCTTCGTTTCTACCCGCCTGGAACTATCCGAGGGGCTGCAGTGGGCTAATACTGAAGGCCTTTCCTGTCTGTCCAGCGTGCGTCTCTTCTGGCTGCAAGAATTCATTCATCTGATGTGAAATAGACCCAGGAGAGAGCAATGCGGTCACTCTGCCCTCAAGTGTCGGTCCGCCAGGAAGACAGGGGTGTTAAGGCTTTGGTGACGTGAGAATCCGCTGAGAAACGCCGTTCCCTTCAGGCGAGGTAAGACTGCCTCTGAGCCCGCCCTTGCCCATGACCTTGTGGGGTGAGCAGGCCCAGAGGTGGCCGCCTGCCGCTGCCCCAGGGAGCGGGGCCCGAGGCTGGGCCTGGCCTAGTACGTGGAGGAGGCTGTGCTCATGGCGTCTTCAGAGATCTTGGTGCCGGCGGGGTGGGTGCTGGCGAAGTACTTGACGTCACTGTCTCGGTCCATCTGCAGGGCCATGATAGTCTGCTCCACAGCCTCCTGGTGGCAGCTGGCAGAGGTGAGGAAGTACTCTGGCAACGACACGACAGCACGCGTCAGGGCAAGTGCAACAAGTGCTCAGTCACTACAAACACAGGACATCAAACCGTCACTACAAGTGATCTGCCAAGGAAGAAGCCCCGTACGCACAGGCTGGGACTGATCTGGATTGCTTTCATGACAAGAAATCTCCTGACATTCAGTGGGAGCTAGGGAACGGTCAGCTCAGCAGTGAATTAAAACATCAGGCTTCTTAGCTATCAACTGGCTTAGCAAAGGAAAAATGCTTATAAACATCGGATGCGTGCGCTCTTCCTAAAAACCAAACCAGCCTTCCCTGCCGTTTCATTTTTATTGCTTTCTCTGAAAGACACGAATGGCAAGGCGAAAAGCAGCAGCCCTCGTTTGCTTACTCTCAAGTCCATGACCGCCTTCCTTCTGTGCTACCCTCCTGAGTTCACGCATCAGCTGTCATGAACTCCGTGAGGCGCAGGGGTACAGCACCCATGCACGACCTCGGGGTGTGTGGCTCCTGCTGGGGGAGGGAGCAGCTGCACTGTGGCCCTGGGGCCCCTGCCATGCTGCACACTTGAGTCGGTGCCGAGATAAGCTGTGAGCTAGAAAAATGCTAACGCCAGGCCCAGGGACCCCTGCAGGAGGAGCAGCGCACTGACTCAACGTCCCTGTCACTGGCAGTGTCCTTGGAGGGAGCCCCTGTGAGCTGGCCCGGGGGTTGCAGGGCACAAACCCCGCTCTGGCTCCCGGCCACCACCTACCTTTCTCTAACAGCGTCTGCCTCAGCGTCTTGGCGAGCAGCACTCTGACGTTCGGGACTCTGTCGTTGGCCAGGGTGAGCAGGTGTGGCATGAGGTGTGCAGCGAACTGGTCCATGGGGAGGCAGTCGTCCTCGATGACAGTCTAATGCAGAGAACCGAGGGCGTGAGCTCACAGCCAGAGCAGCCATTAGGGAGACTGCTTTGTAACCCGTCTCCCAGGTGCTTGGGGCCTCGAACAAAAATCCCATCATCAGGAAGGGACTGGTGGCCAGTGGGCAGTGACACATAGTTCGGTGGATGGAATGCATGATGGTGCCCAGCAGGTGGGTGATGGCTGTGGGTCAACTGAGACGCTGGCAGGAAAGACCGTGACTTCTCAGCACAGACACGAGGGAGCTCTGGGGACAGATGTGCTCCCCTGGTGGAACACCCCGTGTACACAGGCACCAGGGCAGCACACGGCACCCCATAAATGTGGACAAGTTCTATGTGTCAACTGGAAAATTTTAAAATACACATTGTTTTGGTACCGGGGATTGAACTCGGGTCCTTGCGCTTGCACAGCAGGTGGCAAAACCACTGAGCTACATCCCTGGCCCCTAAAGTACACATTTTAGAAAAGGACGCCTCTCTGCCTAGACAGTGTGAAGCTGTTCTCCAGAGAGCAACTGGTGCTGCAGGCCTGCACTGCCAAACTGCTCAGCTTCCTGTGCTGCCGAGGGTGCGGTCCTGGGATGCACACGCCACTGGACATGCTACAGAGCCCATGTGTAAGCGGTATGGGCTGTGGGGAGGGCAGTGGTGCAGAGGCCTCACCTGGCACACGAAGACGAAGGCCTGGCGGCCTGACCACCGGGGACACCTGCCGAAGTTCTCCACCAGCTCCCGGATGAGATCCGCGCCAAAGGTTGGGGATGAAGCTGTGTGCAGCTTCTTCACCATCTCGCTGACCTGCAGGGAGCACAGGGGAGGGGGAGCTTGGGCTGGGGACCCACATGGGGTGGCGTGCAGCTCGCGGAGACACAGTGACTACGCACCAGCTTGTAGGAAATCCAGCGGACGGAGGACACTTTGTCTGCACACAGGCTCAGGGCGATGGGGCGCAGATAGTCATAAATGTCTCTGGGGCCGTATAGCTCTAGAAGTAAGATCAGCTGCCTACAAGACACAGTGAAAACTCAGGCACAGCTGCATGTAGGCTAACAGTAACCCTAACACTGGATGGTGACAGTGAGGAGCCAGCCAAGCAGGCTTCTCCTGCACAGCAAGCCTGGGCGCCTGGGCAGCGTGCAAACTCACAAACGCCGCCTCCTGCCTGCAGCATGCGGACAGAAGCCGTTGGACTCTTCCCCGGTAACAGGGACTAAACCTAGGGTCAGCTCTTGCCGGGCGAGAGCGCTACCCCTGAACTACACCACAGCCCTTTTGTGAGACGGGGTCTCACTGAATTGCCCAGGCTGGCCTCAAACTTGGGACCCTGCCACCTTAGCCTCCTGAGTAGCTGTGATTTCAGGGGTTCACCACTGTGCCTGGTGAACACTACAAGCCTGGATGCACCTATAGTGTGTCCCAGGTTCACAGCTGGAAGCCCGGCCCCAGTGTGACTGTCCTGAGAGGAGACGGGACCTCCCAGAGCCAGCAAGACAGAAGGCAGTGAGGTCCCAGACACCAGGCCCTGTCTTGCTGGAAGGGGTTGGGGAGGCCAGTTCCGTTCCGCTCTCCAGTGCCACAAGCCCTCTTCCCTTACACATTACTGTCATGGGCGTTTTGTCACAGCAACATGAAACAGACACAGGGCTGGACGGAAGATGGTGTGCGTTTCCAGTCACAGCTTGGGACATCCTGAAAAAGCACCACCCACCAGTGAGGGTCTCACAGAAGAGCCGGTGGTGGCTCTGCCCTGTCGGGGGGGAGCCAGGACTTCATGATGCCTTGTGACACTGCTTCCCAGGGGGGCCAGGCCCCTGCTGGAGTGTGCGACACTCAAACTGTCCCTAGGACACACGGCTGGGGAGACACAGCTCAAGCTACAGCCGATGGCCCACGATAGACAGGGCTGCATATTGGTCCTTTTTCTGCCACTAATCCCCACCCCACCCCAGGAAAAGCACCAAGACATCCTTTAAAAGGTAGGCAGTGACTGGCAGACATTAGGGGACAGTGGCGAGCCACTGGATGCTCCCTGGGTCCCACGGCAGGTGCAGAGGGGACAGGAGCCCTTCCCGGATGCCGACCCTTCCCTACACCCGATGGACACGAACCCCACTGGCAGGCACACTGTGGGAGAGTGGAAGGCTGAGGCAGGCAGTCGCCAGAGAAGCCTGCAGCCCCCAGCAAGAATGGAAGGATGCAGGCCACCCACACTGCTCCCAGTGCACACACAGGACCTGGTGACAGAAGGGATGCCAGACGGGAGGCCACAGGGCACAGAAATATTGGGGGACAGCACCCCAGACAGTCAGAGGAGCTCACAGGACTTACTCAGCCAGCTCGGCTCGGAAGCGCCAGTTTCTACTATTGTCTGTCACCAGAAACTCCTGCAGTTGATACAGATACTCTCGTCTTTTGTCAATATGAAGAAGCTGAAGTAACAAAAATATTTTAATTTAATCAGGACAAAGTATAAGCATCATTTCTTTTACTAGACTGCTTGAGAATGGACCCTAATATAGGTAGTTGTGAAGAAATGAGGTACCTGTATTTAATGCTTTTAAATTAATAAACTAATTTCCCCCAAATCCCTCTACCTTCCAGAGTCACCACCTCTCTGGCTATCCCAGGCACAGCTCATCCATCCCTACAGCCTGGTGTGACACGTGTGGCCCTGTAACTGCACACCATGGGTGCTTAATGCACGTGGGCAAAAACAATGTATCCTAGTAACTGCTCCACCACCAAGGGGCAAACCCTCACTCTTGATACAAATGGAAACCAACCTAACAGCCGGCTGGATAACATCCACAGGAGGCAGCACAGCCCGGCCTCGGACTCAGGGTGCGGATGGCAGCCCCGCCCACTGCTTAGTGTCGCAAGGCTGGAGCCACTTGAACCCAGCAAATAAGTGCATTGATGTCACTTCGAATTCAAACAGTTTTCATCTTGAGAGAGAAGAAGAAACCCGAAGTGAAGAAAGAAGAGCCAATGGGTGGGACTGGAAGGAGTCCCTGTCGGCGTGAACTGAGGCCGAGGACGTGGGCGTGTGCGTTGCACCTGCTGGACACACCACCCAGGCACACGTGTACTGAAGCGTCACCAACAGCCCATTATATAGGTCTCGCGTTTTTATACATCAGTTAAGAAAATGAGCCCAATAATTCAAAACCAAAACAAACCACCCCTTAGCTTCTGCCTCCTGAGAAGGCCTAAAAGGACCCTGGGGCGAAGGCACATGCAGGCACAGGGCACCACCTGGAGGACGGCAGGTGGGGTGGGGTGGGGTGCCCAGAGCAGGGCAAGCCAGACGGACACACAAGGCAGCTTTGTGACGTCTCCACAGACAACAGGAGCAGAGTACAGCAACAGGAAATCCTGGAGTCAGCATGGATAGTAAAGTTTTCAGGAGGGCCGGGGGAGCAGGGACAGCTTCTTACAGGAAGAGACAAGGCCACTCCAGCACCCACATGGGAGCCACTGCCATGCTGTGAGCCATGAAGGGCCAGAGCTGTGTGTGAGCTCTAGGGACAAGGACACCACAGAGCCCCGGGGCATCATTCACGAGGGCAAACGCCGAGCAGCACCAGGACCCAAGTGACCACACTAGTCACCAGGCATAGGCAGAGCTGACACGTTACCCCTGCGTGACGCATCTGAAAAGACCCAGGGCAGCCCAGGCAGGTGACAAGCCTGCCAACAAGCCAGTGTCGCCAGCATCACAGACCATTGCCAGGCTTGGAGAAACCATCCCCAGGGGCCCCGAAGGCGCCTGGTGTGGACTCAGATGCCAAAGCAGGGAGAACAGAAAGCCTGGGGCCTGGCCTTGACCTGCACAGCAAAAGATGTAATGTTTACATTCAACAGCTGCTTTCCAAGATGAGGGGACAAAAGCCATAAAGGAAATCATTGGAACATTTAAAGAAATTCCAATATAATCTATATAAAATATTTTAACTTTTTTTTTTTTTTGGTACTAGGGATCGAACTCGGGATTGACTTCTTTTTAAAAGCAGGATTGTGATTACTTCCGTTACTCAAAGCTTAGAGTGATGAGTCGGTTCAAGGTGAAAGTCGAAGAAGCAAGAGCATCCCCAGCTTCACCCATCCGTAACCAGGCCAGGCCCCTACACGCCGGGCAGCAGGACCTCACGGCAAACAGGCGAAGGCCCGAAGTACCAGACAGCTCTAACTGAAAGGTGGGAGTTTCTAACATGTATTTTATTCAGTAATTTCAAAAGAAAAATGTACAAATGTTTATTTCCATAGCCTAACATCATTTAAAAATGAACTTTAGCATAATTATTTTTAAATTTAAAAATTAAGATGACATCAGCAAAGCTGATCCGATCTGTTTTTCTTTATGAAATCGTATCTTAACATTGACGCATGGGGATACGTCCTTATAAAAGAGCACAAAGAACTCCTGCTATCACCAAAAATAGAGATTGTAGGTTTACAGTGGAATCTTAGTACGTTTCTATGTAAAAGAATTTAAAAGTTACCTTCAGAAAATCATGCAAGTGTTTAAGGACACCTATCCTGACTTCATCGAGGTCTTTTAAAAATCCATTAAAAATTGGAACCAGATCCGCAGCTGTCAACTGATCTCCAAGAATAACTGCGAGCTCGTGGATGGAGAACGCTAAGGTCCTTCGAACTTTCCACTGCAGAGACAAAAGCTGTGTTAGCAAGCTAAGCTACAAAGCACTCAGGACTCTGAGTATTATTAGTTGCAAAAAGAAAAAATTACATTAGTGCCGAATAGCAGACATAATGGCATTAAGTTTGAAATGCCGACCGCAGGCCTAAAATGTGGCAAGCTTATAAAGTCCCTGCAGTCATCATTTCCCCTTTCTTAGGAAGAAAGCCCCCTTTAGGAGTCACCGGCATACAGCTTTGTACTTCTGCACACTTGATCCCTGATCTACTCACACCCATGTGTATCAAAGGCCACCTTCCACGACCCCACTTGACTCTTCCTTGGGACTCCTGTCTGGGCATCTTGGATAAAAGACACGAAACTGGTGCGTACAAAACTGACAATTTAAGAAACAAAAAAGGAGCAGAATTTTTTTTGTACAGCCTTTGGATTGCTAGGAATCTTTCATTGCACACATTTCTTAGGCTGGGTGTGGTGGTGCACAACAGCGTCCCAGAGCTCAGGAGACAGGTGAGGGGAGCTCAGTGCCAGCCTGGACTACATGTGCAACCCTGTCTCAAAAACACCCCCCCAGCACCGCCGCCATTTTGTTTTCCATGTTGCAGTAATTTATAAGTCTGTGTTGCTTAACTCTTTACCTATGTGAACCATCACACAGTGAAGCGTCCTCCCCGCTATGAAATGTGCTCACGAGTTTGCCACAAGTCATGGGGCAAAGGCAGAGACGTGCTGAGGAGGAAGGGACCACAGGGACAGACTCCGCCACAAGAAGCCTCCCTGGCACCTGGGCACTGCTGGGCTCACCAGTGCACAGGCTCACACATGTATGGACACTGGCTTTGTCCCCACGCCCAGACCCACTCTTGGGGGTTGGGCCTGGGCCCCAGCTCGCAGGCCTCCCAAGGTTGGAGGAGAAGCATAAGCTCCACTCTCCCGAGGTTACTTTCCACTTCCACTGTGCTGAGTCCAGGGAACCGATTCCTTGAAAAACTCAGGAAGCACTGCAAGGGTTAAGGGAAAAATCATTCCTTTCCTGGTAGAGAGTCTGATGACCCCATTCGACTTCACTAGAAGACCAGCTTTCTGTGGAAGAGGAGCAAATTTTTGATTCATGGAGCCTAGACCTAATAGCAAGGGAGGTATAAGTCACCAAAGATAGGGAGAGAGCCACAAAAAACACACTAACCAAGTGTGGTGGCACAGGCCCACAACCCAGCCCTCTGGGAGGATGAAGCAGGAGGATCATAAGCTGGAGACCAAATTGGGTGATTTGGTGAGGCTCCATCTCAAAATAAAAAAAAAGTTTTGTTAGCGCTTGGGCTGCAGCTCAGTGCAAAGGTCCTGGGCTCAATTCCAAGCACTGCTAAATAAAACACACAAAAAAAGCCAGACACAATGGCTTGTGTGACACTTTTCTTTTCCTGCTCTTTTGAAGGGGGCTGGAGTTCAGGGACAGGGGGAATAACCATCAACTTTTCTGTCGGCACTCAACACTCGGGCACGGGGCTGAGAACGGAATGGTGCTAAGGAATCCCACCATCCTGTCTATTAAGGCTGAATGATCTTTTGGGATCGGTATAAAGATTGACTCAGCACTTATACCAGGATTTCTAGGGGGATGTTTATCCTCAAGAAGTAATCTACAAACCAGCTTTAAATAATACACATTTCTAGGCTAGGAACCTAGGCATGTCAACAGTGTCAAGTGTGTTCGAGAAAAGCGGAGAAGCCAAACTCTCTGGAACTCTGACTGCAGAAAGACAACGCCCTGCCAAGACTTTCATGGCATCCGCACTGCTTTCTGAGACACCAGGTCTGTGCTGGAAGCCTTGCAGGGTTTTCTGGGTCCTGAAAGCCAAACCACAGCGCGCTGCTCCCCATCCAGTCCCCTCAGTGCCACACTCACCTGCATGTCAGAGGCCAGGGTCTCGTAGGTCTCTCTCAGGCAGTGCCAGTTCTGCCTGCCAAGGGTCAGGGCCACCCCGGGCAGGCTGTATGCGCAGTGCTTGGCGATCTCCGTGTCCACCGTCTGTGCGCGGGACGGGTCGGTCATAGACAAGTACTGGTCCAACAGAGCCTGAGGCACCACGTCCTGTTGGAGACAAGAGGACAGTGTGACAGTAGAGCATTCAGATGTGTCTACAGCCGCCAGACTAAGGCAGGCAGAAGTACTTTCCAGTACATGGATGTGATGTACCTGCTAGATGAAACGAATTAACTCAAGGAACACAGGCTAGAGGAAACACAAAAATAAATAAAGGCGACTCTAGAACAATAATGAATATGATCTTAAAGCTGGAAACAGTTGGAAGTCTTTGAGAATTAACTACTCAACAGACACTACGAAAGAGGTGGCACTTGCCCCATGAACACGTAAGACAGGTCCTCCACGCGCAGTTGACAACAAGTTTAACATACAACAACCATGTTCCTCGGAGGGAGATTTTAGCAGTCATCTATAGAACATTAGCACTTATATATCTCTTTGTAAAATATGATGGAAAGACGAAAGAATATACAGCTTGCTGATGTACTGCAATGATGCTCTGGAAAGGGACGTCAAGGGAAGTGAGACTGCTGTTACTGGGAAGCACAGTGGATGAGTGGAGGAGAAAAACGTAAGGAAATTCCACTGCCTGCCCCTTTATCTGCACTATAGATAAAAAATAAATTAAACGGAAATAACCCATTACAAGGATGCGATAATCTGTATGTATTGACAGAGTACCTCTTCGGTAGTGGGGAAAAGCATTTCAAAACTGCATACCGATTCCATTTTTAGTAAGGAAATGTGCCTCTGACCTACAAAATCTAGTACTAACACGGTCCCAGAGCAAATCACAGGCACGGGGACTGTGACCCACGTGCCTGGGGAGGAGCAGCGCTGTCGGGTGCTGGGCTGGGGCTCCTGGGAGATCTCCACAGCGAAGCTTTTACAAAAGAAAAGCACCAAGCGCCCCCCAGTGATTCCAGGCACCATCTCCACACTTTCAATACCCTGAAGATGAGCTGTGCCTCGGGGTGCACAGCACTCTACAGCGGCTTCAAGCCATTTCACATGCTCTGTCCAGAAACCAGAGCTACACTTTAAATTCTTGGCAACTTAGGCAGGAGAAAGGGCCTAGTGGCATCGGATGCTCATAACTGCCTTGAGAGACAGCAAGGGGTGCCCCTGCTGTACCCCCAAATCCAAGAGGCAACCTGGTGGAGCTGTGGCTGGGGAGGATTTGAGCTTCTGTGTGATTCTCCTCTATGTGAACTTTCTCATTCCAAGTGACACGCCAGTCTTCATCTCGAAAACACTCATTGTGCACAGAGGTGAACATGGGCAGGAAACAGGCTGCAGAAGAGGGTGAAGCACGGGCACAAAGCAGGGCATCCTATCACTTGCCTGCACTTTAGGGCTCCTCTCCTCGTCCGGGCTGAAGCTGCTGCTGGTGCTCACGTCTGAGTCGCTGTGGACGTAGTGAAGAGCGGGGTCCATGCTCTGTGAGGAGAGAGAGCTACTTCAAGAGCTGCTGTGTCTCTCACTTCAACTGTCCTACGCGCCTACTCACCTTCCAGACTGTCCCAGAGACAGACAGACAGACAGACAGACACACACACGCTCTGCAGGTCTTTATAAGTTTATGCACATGCCTAAGGCCTCATAAGAGTCCTGATTTAAATCAATTTGGTGAATTCTCAAAAAATTAAAAGTAATTAAAAAGTAAATTTGGAAGCAATTTTTAAATAGTCTAAATTTCTCAAATTAGCTCACTTATAAAGTGATACTGAAAAATTCTTTCAATTATCTTAGAGGCCACTGGGTGCCATGTGTAGTTTTCTTCTACTTCCTCTATTCTTGGTTATTGATACCTAATTTCACAAACATTGTGAGCCAATGCCCCCATACACAGAACAAAAACAAATAAACCAAATCTCCAGTAAACAGCCATGTGAACAGCCAAGGGTTCAGTCCAAAGCACTGATATTACACATTTCTACAACACTGGATGTCATCTAACAAAAAACGGAATAGAAATGCACCAAGAATCCTCTTGCCACCCCCATGTATAAGGACACACTTTCCTGAGCTATCGTTCAAGCGGCCAGGATCTGGGACCACTGGATTACGGCAAGGAGTGGTGTGTTCCTGCTCTGATTATGTAACACGGGAAGAGACACACACTCAGTGGTGCCAGCTGGAAAGGGATGTGGTGGGAGACAAGGGAAAGATCGTGCGAACAGCTACAGCTGCACAGCAAAGACGATGCTGTGTGACAGGAACAGTACCCACCCTCACACTCGAGTCCAGATAATGCCACTGGCCTCCGCAACATGGCCTCAAGTCCCGATCTTCTGCTCAGAATATTGTGTTGCTTGCTGCAGTGAAATGGTCCGATCAGAAACAAAGAACCTCTCCAAAAAGAAAAGGGAAGAGTTAATTATTCTTGATAAAGGGCTTTGTTTCCAGTAAGACTATTTCACTGCAGTGAGCTACGTTCACATTGAGTCTAGCAGGATGGGCATAGAGACGGCACTGGCATTTATGCTTCCAGGCATTTACTATGTCACTAGTGTTACAAGGAAGGACGTGGTGATAACTATGACTTTTACTTCATGCAAAAGAAGAGCTGCTGAAGGAATGAGCTAGCTAGGAAGTGATCAGCTACAGCATCCCCAACAACAGACTCCCAGACTCAAACTGCTCCCATCGGTCAACACCACTGGGTTCGTTACCTCAACAGCATCGCTGATTAAAGGCACAGAATCATCTTGATTTATTTTACAATTTGGTAGCTCATTTATACCCGGTTCGTCTTGCAGCTCGCTGCTCTTTTCCATGCTGACAGCCTCTGTGTGAGTGTCCAGGCTGGAGGCGCGCAGGGCAGCCGACAGCACCTCCACTTGAGCTGCGGGAGGAGGAAAGACAGTGAGGGGCAGTCCTCTCCAGTGCATCACGTGTTAGCAGTGATATGTGTACTTTCATTCTGCCATCAAAAAGCTGGAAAAAAGTCTACGATGGTAAATCATTAGTCCTTCCAGAGAAAAAGGAGAAAACTAATATGCTTTCATTAGATTAAAATGTTTATCCACTACAGCACATTATTCTGCGTTAGTATGAAAAGAGAAATGCTATCTAGTTGCCGGAGGTAGCTCTGGTTTATTAAAGAGTCAATTTCAGGAGAAGTTAACTATGTTGTGGTAGTGACAAGGCTTACTTACTAAACTATTTTAGCAGCAGAGCAGTCACACAAACCCTGCCAACATAGAACAATGGCAATTACCATGATTTCTGAGGCAGTTACATTTAAACATCTCATCTCAGCTTATTTTTCTCTCAGTGATGATGAACTTTTTAGAGACGAGTCCCCAAACCGCAAAAGTGCCGACACTGTAATTAAACCTAAATTCTGAGGTTTTAGTTTAGAAAAAATAACTCACACATTAACATATTTTGTCTTAAGAGAAAAACAAATAACATGTGGTCCACCATTGCGCTAACTCTTTGAAAATGAAATCATGACCTTGTACCAAACATGGGTCCCCTGTGAGTATCCACCATGCCTGCTGAAAATCAGAACGACAACTTACCAGGCAGTGGCTCCTTCACCTGGCAATTACTACTGCCTTCCTCTTAAAGGACATTCAGAATGGAGAAAAAGAACTCTCTATTCGCCCCCAAGGAAATGACAAACAGCAAAAAACACTGCTTATTAGCAGCTTAGTATTTACTCCAAGTAATCAACTTGGATGTTCAAAATGTGAAAAATTTAAATTAAAATGTATAAAAATAAACAAAATAACCAGCAATTCCCTAAGACAACCTATTAACAGGCTGCAGGAGGCACAAAGTTTCTCTTGTCTCAGAACACTAAGTACCAGGCACACACACAGGAGGTTCCGTCTCCTCTCATTGGACACTCTGCTTAAATGGGGCCAATCGAGGGTGTCTGCTCATGACGTGTTCCGGGAGTACTCATCCCATCAGAACCCCGGTGGCAATCTGCACAGTCACTCACTCTGCCCCTCCCCTCTCTGGGACCACTCAAGGTTCCCCAACCAAAGCCAACAAGACTCCAGGAGGCCGCACAATTCAGGACGGCTGTGGCAGTTTGCACCACTGGAGCGCGTGCATAGGGCATGGCTAACGTGTCCCCACTACTCCCTGGAAGTGACTAAGGCAGAGCCTCTCACAGAACACGTCAGGCACCAGCCACTGTTTCTAAGTGGCTCACATGCTTCCCCTTACTTTGTCCATGACTGCCCTTAAGTTTGAATGCTCATGAAAATGTAAGGTAAGTGACACTCTAAACTTATCCTCTTTCCCTGCAAATAAGACCTAGCTGAAAAGAATCATCCCTGAAAGCTAGAGATCAAAAATGCCAGGGCCAGTCCTCACCTGACTTGCCTTAGGCAGTGGCCACCAAGCAGAGGCTCAGTGTCAAGAGAACAGTGGCAACAGGTAAGCAGAGCTAGGCTGATGGGGCTGGCATTTTTGCTCTCTAGTTTCCAAGGCCGAATATTTTCCAGCTAGGTCTTCTTTTCAGGCAAACACGGTACCTCCTTCCGGAAAATGATCTAAGATGGAGCCTAGTGCAGATACCTCCAGTCTCCAGCCAGAGGAGGAGGGAGCAGGAAGCTTGTGCTCCGGATGTAAGACACCATCACAAGGAACTTGGGAAATAGCACAGAGGGCTTTACCACGACCTGCCTTGTACCTACAATATAGACTAAAGTCCTAGGGAACAGTGATGCAGAAGATTGAAGAGAGATTTGTAGGCAACACTATGGAGCTCCCTCACAGAAGCCCAGGCACCCAGCCTTACCAGGCCCTCTGCAACCCCTGAAGCCTGGGACTTGTGTACTCCTTGCCTGAGATGGCACCAACCCTGCGGGCTCAGGAAGGACTGGCCACCAGGCAGACAGCACAATGTAACAAATCTCCATGTAGCAAGCCTGAGAGCTGAACTAGAAACAGAACGGATTAAGTCTGAGTATTTATATTGAAATCTCTCTAGTACAGGAGACCAGCTTGAAACTGCACTGAGCAGGCTTTAGATATCACTGTGAGTTGTCCTTCACCAGTACACAGTTACTCCCCTTTTTCAGCCTGGCTCAGTAGTACATTAGCTCTGCTGTTCTCTACATCTGCCTTCACGGCCCCTGCTATGCACTATCATCATACATACTGATTAATCCAGAGCTCAAAGTCTTAGCCAGGAGAGAGCTGAAGATCAATTCCTGGCTCCCAGAAGTAATAAACTATCATTCATTATTCTCTATTTCTTGTTCTCTTTATATTATTCTTCCATCCCCTGCTGTCCCTTCATCAGGGCATCCCCCAGTAACTGGTCGGGCTATCAGCCACGGCACAATAGTATATAATATTAGCCACTTTTGCTAACACAAAGTCATTTTGAAACTTCTATGTGTGCATTGGTGTTTTTTTTTTTTTTTTGGTACTGGGGATCAAACTCGGGACCTTGAGCTTGCGAGGCAGGCACCAGAACCCCTGAGCTAAATCCCCAGCCCGTATGCATTGGTTTTTAAAAAGCAAACTATGGAAGAGGAGTTTTAGCTTATTTGTTGAAAAAAAACATAAAGCATCTCATTCAATATTTCAGTTAGTATCTGTTAAGTTCCAGAGAACCAGCCAGTACTGCTATGCCATGAGGGCCCCTAGAACAGGCTGGAAGACTAGTTGGTAATGTATTTTGGATAAAAATGGAATTTAAGACAAATAAAATATGATAGTTATTGAAGTTTAATGAACATAATACAACTTAAACTGATACTAGAAACAACAACTATGTGAAAGCTATGATGAAACTGAACATTATCCAAAGATGACGGTCTTTGCTACACTAGAACCTCACAGTGGTATGATTCTGTGCTCAATCCTCTCCCCAGAAGTGGGGGACACTAAAGCAGGGCTCTCTGGTGAAGCAAAATAAAAACCTCAATACTTGCTATATCATCAAGTTGTCACAAAATGCAGAGAACTGGCTCACTGGAGTAAGAAAAACCTATGACAGGCCCACAAGTGAGGAATGAAGCAAAAAGCAGAGCTATCAGGGTTCTGTAAGAAATACGGTGCCCTCCTGCAGTGGGAGGAGGAACACATTGGAGTATCCCACTGAAATCACCCAATTTCTTTCCTGCCCTTGCTAAGAAAGTGACAAAAAGACTCAACGACTGAGATACGAACCACGTGGACAAATCTCAGATGTGCCGCCAGATCCCATTTATGTGGGGTCCAGAAAAGGACCGACCAATCATAGGCCTGAGCAGGCCAGCTGGACGCGACAGGCAGGGAGGAACGGGCTGACGGGAGGGGTGGAGGGGAGGCTTCGGGTGAGAAGAACGCACACCACTGCTGCCACCCAGGTGATAGGTGCGTTACACACAGCAGCAAAATCAAATCTGACTCGTAAATATGGACAGCTCTTAAAACACCACATTCCACAGAAAATAGAAACCTATGTCCACTGTTAACAGGTGAGAGTCTTTCCTTGAAAAACAAGAATACCATGTCTACTGCTATTTTATAAAAAGGCTGACATGATCCAGAGCAAAACAGAGCAGGGCTCAAGATTTTAAACTGTAAATGCAAAGCCCTAAATAATGGTGAACAGGGCCAGGGATTTAGCTCAGTGGTTCCGGCGCCGGCCTCGCAAGCACAAGGTCCTGAGTTCAATCCCCAGTACAAAAAAAAAAAAAAAAAAAAAAAGGTGAACATTTTAGAGGAATTAGTGCAACAACATATGAGATTTTAAAAATAAATCATATCTATCAATCTTTTTTTTTGGTACCAGGGATCGAACTTGGGTCCTTGCGTTTGCGTAGCAGGCAGCAAAACCACTGAACTAATCCTTGGCCCAAATCTATCAATCTTAAAAGAAGGCAGTTTTCCTGGAAAAAGTTTTTTTCAAGTCATAGCATTTCATGTACGATTTCTGAATAAAGAACACGACTGACTCTTCGTACCTTTAACATCAGGATCATCAATATGAGGCTCCAGGTTTTCTAGCATCTCCTCCAGCTCCCTCCTGGTGGCCATGGTGATGTTTAGAGAACCTGGCATGAGGTCTTCTGGGGCTCCTTCTGGCCGCTCCAGGCCGAGGCTCTTCCCAGAGTCCTGCTCAAGCTCGAGGTCCAGATCTATTTCGGGAAGAGGAGTCCTCCAGAAATGGAAGGAGTTGTACAATTCCTGATCTGGGAGAGCTGAGTCTTGTGACTTGCTGTCAGCCTCCAGCTGGAACACGGATTTGCAGCCATAGGGCTTTGTAACCTCATCACTACTAGCTGCTTCTGGGTGAGACTCTGAGGACACAGTACACAGTGAAGAGCTGTCTGCCGGAGCCGGGACACCCAGCTCCTGTGCAGAGTCCCGAGGCGCTCCAGCACCACGGTCTTCCAGCGCACACTCCAACCTGGCACTGGGCCCAGCGACACTGAGGGCTGAAGGGACATCCTCTGGCACCTCTTGGTCTCCGAGCCTTAATTGTTTTATTTGGGAGAAAACAATCCAACAGAAAAGTATAAAAATAATTACTGGAAAAATCAATGAAGAGATACTACATCTAACATTTAGGCAAGTTAAATATTAAAGATGATACATTATCCACACAAGTGGAATAGTTCATGTATACATTATTTATAATACTGCTTTTTTCCAACAGGTGTATGTGTTCAGAGAAGTAAATACTTGTCAAGCATGAGTCTAGATATGAAGCATTACTGGCTGGAGATGGTAACATTAAAGAACACTAGGGTTCCACAACACCATGCTAATTTCAATACTAGGTCATCAAAGAAAAACAGTAGGAAGTAAAAAATTCTACAGTGTATCTTAAGGTACATAAAAATTTTAAGTTATCTAATTTTTAGGATTGTATTGCCACTCTGTTCAAACGAGACAGTGAAAGCTGAGAATTAAAGCTTTTTTGCTTATGTAAGGGGAAAACTATCTAGGTGTATGGAAAAGACTTCCTATCTACAAAATATATTAAAGTATTAAGGATTATTTTTCTTTCTTCCACAATTTTCATCTCTACTCTCAGAGGTCTTCCCCAAAAGAAGCCGTGACTTAACTGGTAAGGACAAAGAGTACAAATTCCTAGTTAAAGCCCACTGATTACTGACTGCCATCCATTCTGTTGTTTGTCTCCTATATTTTATCTGATTCAATTAAACCGAATCAGCATTTACTGAGCACCTACTGGGAGCCAGAAAATAAAATCAGTTTTGAGAATGTGAATGAGATGCAGATCTTGCTGTGGAGATTACGATCAGAGGCAAATAAAAGCAATGGGCAAATAAGCAAATTCCCAACAGACAGAGTGGTGAGCAGGGAGGATGTATGCTGAGCATGGGGAGGAAATGAAGACTAAATGTTTATACGAGGCTGAGGGAAGAAAAATACGTGAGGAAGAACCAGCGTACCAGGCTAGAGCTGGAGAAGCCATATACTGTACTGTGCTCAGAAAACAGCGACATTACTGGTGCTAAGAGAAGGAAAGTGATGGACAAGAATGAGAACATCTCAGGGTCCACTCTCCTCCACACTAACACCTCAGAACTCAGTCTGCGGGCTGCAGGAGATAAGGTAGGAAGTATGTTATGAGATGTGTTCTTTTTGCAAGACCATTCTGGAAGCAGAGTAGAACACAAGATGCAGTTCTGGACAAGCCTGTGAGAGACGGTGATGCCTGGGGCTACAGAGGACAGGAACACAATCCGATGGTGACATAACCCAGTCCACAGTCCCTTATTTCGTGCTGGAGCCCAGAAACAAAGTGAGGAATCTGGCAAGATCCAGATTGCTGGCTTCGGCCACTGAGTAGACGCTGGCAGCGCCAAGTAAGAATAAAAATGGAGAGGGAAGTCTGACAAAAAAGCTACCTGGCCCAGGTCTGGACAGGGTGGGTGGGTTAGGCCTCTGCTGAGAATCAGGTGGCAATGTCTACAAGATACTGGAAAGAGGTGGAGATTGGAGAGAGACTTGCAGGTCACTGATTCCCCAAAGATTTAAGAAACATTAATGAAAAATTGAACAATTCCAAAGAATAATGGAGTGAATAGAGTCTTCTTGTACAAAAGGATGGTAAAAATGAGGATACTTTTAGGCTGAGGAAGATAGGCTAGAGGAGATGAAAGAACTGAGACATGGATACTGCCAGCATAAGTGATCAGATACTGTCTTTCTGAGGAGAAAATATGAGCTCAAGAACAAGAGGAAGCAGGCTATGGTGGTCCATGCCTATAATCCCAGCACTCCAGGAGGCTGAGACAGGAAGATCACAAGTTCAAGCCCAGCCTGAGGAACTTAAGAGAAACCCTGTCTCAAAATTAAAAAAAAAAAAAAGACCTGGGGATGTGAAGGCCTTGGATTCAATTCCCAGTACTGCAAAACAACAAAACAAAACAAAACAAAACAAAACAACAGCACCACCACTACCACCACACAGGGGACACCAACAGGTGAGGAGATGCCTCCTTTTAAGAAAGATGAGAGGGAGATAAGGATGGCAAGATATGTGCTTTTTTGTTTTTTGGTACCAGGGATTGAATTCGGGACCTTGAGCTTGCAAGGCAGGCGGCGGAACCACTGAATTAAACCCCCAGCCCTAGGATGGCAAGATACAGATGTCAATTTATAAGGTGACTATGGGGAAGATAAAAGTCCCCTTTAAATGTTGTGTGCCTTTAAATATACACAATCAAAGACACTGGAACCAGAGACTTGCAAGGACTGGGCAAAAGGAGCGCTGTTAACTCCACTGAGAGAGACTGCAGCAAGGCAGCCACCGTGCACTGCCCGCACTCATGAGGCCAAGCTCCTCTCAGCCCAGTGCTTACCTTGTTTTAAAAAAATACTGATTTAAAAAATTATTTAAAAAAAAGTACTGAATACTGAAGATTTCTTAAAGATACAGATAAACAAAAATATACACACAAATACTCTGAAAACAGAACACACAATGATAGCATTTTCAATTCCAGCGTTCCCCATCCGTTCTGTAACTACACAACATCTCGCATGCACACACCGTGCGTCCTGACCCGCACCGGCAACCCATTCGTAAAGTTTGGCCTCAGGACACTGACTCCACGCATGCTCCTCCCTCAGCATGCAGGACGGCCTCGGCACCCTGGAAGGGCCTTCCCCTCACAGAACAGCTCTAGCGCTCTTATGCAAAGGAAGTGTGTGCTTTCTAAATGAGGAATTTTCTAACCATGTGGTCTTTATTAAAAAAAGCACGTAATTTTTTCTTTTTGTTATACAAAACATTCATGGTGAAATTTGACTAAAGTCTACAGATCAGACAATGTATCAATTATTTTAATTTCAACACCTGTGTTCCCAAGAAATATACAGTAAAATATGAGGTAAAAAGAGTATCTCTTCTAAAATGTATTCTCAAAGAGTTCAGAAAAACAGGAAGTAAATATGATAAAATAATATTTGAAGAATTTGGATAAGGGGATATGAGATTCTTTGTGGCATTTCTGTAATTTTTCTGAAATCATTCAAATAAAGTATTTTAAAGCAAGGGGATGGGAAGAACAAATGGATAAAGCTTAAAAGACTTCATTTGTTATCTGAAAAATTTAAGAAACTTCCATTTAAAACATATAAAAAAGAACCTACTTAAATGGCCATCCAGAATGTAAAATTATTCCAGGGGCTTGGAGTCCTTTGATTGCTGTCTCACCTTAACGTGAAGAATAAACTTCAATATTCTTAGCAACAAAATCCAACGGAGATGACTGCTCAAGTTTTTATACCCACCCAATGAATGCAAACATAGGAGGTATGTCCACACTTCAAACTCACAGCACGGCTTTTAAGAGAGAAGTACACGACATGAAAAGGTTTTCCCTAGTATTAAATTCTGGGAAGACTTACTGTGCACGTGGCCTCCAACTCTCAAGGGTAAGTTCTCTAAGAACTAACTTTCCCTGGAGGTAGGTTACAGTCAGTGTGTATCAAGTTACCGAATGCCAAAACTCTTGAGGTTTCCCCACCAGACCTTGAGATGCCGTTATCCAAGGGATTCATGGGTATAACTGAGGGGCCCCAAGCCCTGTGTGCACAGCCACCTCAGCTCCTGGAGATGCGGGCACAAGTGTACCAGAGGGCATATCAGAAGTTTCTCTCAACGAGAGCCTTCACTCTCTTTCTCTGCCCATGTTAAACTCAGTCAATATCCTCAAAGCTGCCCAGGAAAGGCTCTGGTGCCTAGAAAACACAGTTCAGTATTTCTTGCAGAAGATGGCTCATAGGACGTCTCGCCCAAGACACTGGGTCCAGAGAGGAAGCCAAGGAAAGTCCAGGATGCACCTGGCAAGCACTGTCCCGTGCCTTAGCTCTATCAAGTGAAGGGTTACCACTGGGGAAACACTTCCGGGTGTGTGCCAGTAACAACCAATTTTCTTCTTACATAAGCATCAGTAAGCTGAACAAATCAAAACTATCAGCAAGTGCCAACTATGTGCCAGGCCCAGTGAAGGTGCTAGTATCAACAAGGATAACAACTAGACCTTGCCCACGGCAGCCTCTACACGACACATGGAAATATACAATTAAGACTGGAGGCTCCAGTCACAGTGTTGCTGGCAACAAAGACAAAGAGCTCTGAGTGGGCTTGGGGAGAAGTGACCTGTGGCAGGGCCCACACTGCTGCCCCCTTTGTCGAAAGAGGGTGCAGACGGAACAACATGGCTTTCCAAACAGGGCAGCAAGAAACCGAAAGAACACAGTGCACTCAGAGGGCAACGTAACTGTTTCAATAAATATAAAAGCGAATGCTCATTTTACACAACTTTACAAATTTGAACATTTAATTCTCTTTCTGGAAGTAGCTAGAAACACTTCAAAAAGCAGGAATAAGCCCGATGAGGTGAGTGAAAGATAAATCTGATCAATTCTGATGTTTGCTGTCATTAAGTTCTTCAAACAACAGTGGCAGCAAATGCTCCCAGGGCCAGGATGAAAGGCTATGAATGGAGACGTGGCAGTGGACATGTTGGGTCCAAGACTTGCTTACTTTCGTTCACCTGAGAAACTGGAATTCTAAGAAGCTGCGAGGGCCTTAAGAACAGGGATCAAGTTCCAGCTTTCCATTTACAGTGGTTCAGAGGAGGTGCTCAGTTAAGTGTGCAAAAGCAATCAATCACTGCAATGGTACAGCAGCTTTAAGGCAGCTTAGAAACAGAGGCCAGTGCTGTGTGGGGGGGGTACAGACAAATATACGGTGAGCCTATGACCTATAGAAGACCTCTTTATGACGCCAGGAAGCCAACATGTACAAAAGTGATCGCAGTACTTAAAACAATCCCTTCCTTGGCCAGGAGCTCTCTTCCCTGCATCATGCCACTAACACAGTTCAGAAACACCTGGTGCTACAGTGAAAACCTAATGCTACAAACAGCACTGACCTGGCCACGGGACATAGCACATTACAATGGAAACAGAATCAAAGAATTAAACTATCTTTATATAGCTCTTCTAACACAGGCCCCGTCAGCAGAGACAGCCTTAACGGCCACATGGATGGGCTTCAGCAAGCTTTACTGGAACACAGCCAAGCCCTCCATTTACATCATGTCTACGGCTGCTCGAGATGGGCAGAGCTAAGGAGCTGTGACAGTGGTATTTACCACTTGGCCTTGTACAGACAGCATCCTGCCCGTCCTACAGGGCTCTCTGCAGATTTAGACCTTCACTTCCTAGGCCCTCTTCACATTTAAAATAAGTTACATAAGCCTTCAATACACTTGAATCAATACTAAAAAAGTATGCCAACTTCAAAAATGAAAACCAGATAACATTCCCACCCCCCAATCATTTGTGTCAAGCTCCTTCCAGCAGCTGTTTTCAAAAGAACCGAGACTTTGCTTGCTAGGAAGACAGGTTTAGAGTGAGTTTTCTTCCTTTACAAAAAACAGTACCTCAGGTTTGTTTGGCTATTCAGCAGGACAGTAGGAGAACGGGCAAAAAGGTAAAACAAGGCAGCAGAGAAGAAAGGAAGAACTGCCAAATCAAAACACCAAGAAAGCAAATATCACAGTATCAAGACCTATAGAAGAAAATGTCCATTAGCATCATGACAAGGGAGGGACAAGCACTATGGTATCTCAAGCATTGCAGTTAGGGACCATTTCAAAAGCACGTACCCAAACCAATTACTTTATGTGCAGAAGTTTACATTTTATGCACACTTCCCATGCATTAAGGTCTGAACAGTTATTTCCCTAAGTATACATTTAAAGCTAAAATTCAACTGAAAATTCTTAATGCAAAAAGTTTTTCAAAATAAAAATCAGAGTTGACTTTTTAAGCTTTATTTAAAAATCTGGTTATCATAGTAGATCAACATATTTAAAACTGATATTCTAGTTAATAAGCCATCTAATTTAGTGCCAATCATTAAAATGTTCAATCTCTCAACTGAAAATTACAATTATTCTGTAGGCAGAGAATCCATTTCACATTAAATTAACTGACTGTAAGGAAAAATAATGGAAATGGACTATATACAAAAAAAATTTCTTAAACTAGGTTTTACTCCTTAAAAACAAATTTTTAAAAAAACATTTAAAGTATATAAGCATTATCTTTTATATTTTAAATATCAACAGTTTACTAGATAAATAACGTATTAAATAAGCTTATTCAAAAATTATAAAATCTACCATTTAGTTTTCTATGTGCAAGGCCTCAAGCTAAGTAGGTTACATGCATCTTCTAATTTAATACGTAACTACCTGAAGACATAACATCTTATGTATTTAAAATAAAACTTTATGAAAATGTTAAGCAATTTTTATTTTCAAGAGAAATAGTAAATACTTCAAAAAGAATATAAAATAGCAGAAAAGATGCTTACAGACAAGTAAATTTCAAAAACAATGTTTTAAAATTATACCTATTTTTATCTTCTGAAATATCTTCTGAATTTTTGCTTTCTTCTTTAAAATATTGGCCTGAGCTAGATGGATTAGCAAAAGTTGATATGAAAGGTCCCAGAGACTGAAAAGCTGCTTGGCGAACCTAGGAAGAAAGAAAGAACAATAATATAATAAGGATAAGAGGTTTTTTTGGTTTGTTTTTTGGTGGTACTGGGGATTGGACCCACAGGGCCTTCACATTGAACTACATCTCTATCCCTTATTTTTTATCTTGAGACAAGGTCCAATAAGTTACTAAGTTACCTATGCTGGGCTTAAATTTGTGATTCTCCTGCCTCAGCCTCCCAGAGTACTGGGATTATAGGTGTGCACCACCATGCTCTGCAAAAAGTTTTTAAAGTCCAAGTTCAATCCCCGGTACCAAAAAAAAAAAAAAAAAAGTTTTTAAAGAACAAACAAACACACTTATCTCCATATTTATTTTCCATATACCAAAGTCAAAGTGTGTCTGGGATAATAATAAAGCTTTTCTAAAAGAAACCCAGATTAGGGGCCAGGGATGTAGCTCAGTGGCACTGTGCCCCTGCCTTGCAAGTGCAAGGTTCCTCAGCTGAGATTTAAAAATCTTTACAAATTATTTTTTCTTTTACTTCAATTGTTATTCTAAGCGTATATATTTAAACCATTATAAACCATTATAATCTGCATGAGATCTTACAATATTTGCATATAATACATCTTTAAAAACAAATCTTCTTTATTCTCAAGGAAAAAAAAAAAATGAAAGCCAAAGTTAGCAAACCAAAGATACAAAGCAAGAAAGCCAACAGAATGTGCTACACACACCAAAGGTCTGCAGGCAGGAAAGACTGACCTGTGCACTACAAGGAGGCAGGAGAGATGTGCACAACTGCACATGCATCCAGCAGCAGCAGAGCACTGCGAGGTGTCTCCAAAAAGCAGAAGTGCACAAGTGCTGTTACTGACCAAGGCCATGTGGGAGGGGTGGTTATGGAGTTCTACTGCATATTTACTTCTGTTTCATTTCAAAATCTGGGTTGAAACACCGGAGCTGGGCATGCTGGTGCACACCTGTAATCTCAGCACCCTGGGATGCTGAGGCAGGAAGTTCACAAGTTCAAGCCCAGCCTAGAGCACCATATGGACTTACTAAATCCCTGTCTCAAAATAAAATATATAGCTCAATGCAAAGGTCCTCAGTTCAACTCCAAGTACCACAAAACAAACAACTGAGAGAATGTTTTATGGGAGGAGCAGGATGGATACAGCTGACAGGGGTGGCCCCTTCAGAGGAACTGGTGCACCAGACACTGAGTCCTCTGAGATTTGGCATCCCTCTTCCAGGAAGAAGGTGTGACAAGACCTCTGCATGTTTAAAATGAATTATGCAGTATGTGTGAAGTTTACAAAGGTAAATACTCGTAAAGCTGATTAGCTACTAGTAGTTGCTCACATGGAAAAGCAGGTACAGAAATGATTCAGTTGGATTTTTCTTTTCTTTCTTTTTTTTTTTTTTTCAGCTTTTTGAGACAAGGTCTCACTATATAGTTCAGGCTAGCCCTGAACTCACTATGTAATCCAGGCTGGCCTTGAACTCATGGCGATCCTCCTGCCTCAGCTTCCCGAGTGCTGGGATTACAGGCGTGTGCACCGTGCCCAGGCTCACCTGGATTTTTAAAAGGCTAGAATTACATGCTTCATAGCAAAAAATACTGTGAAGGGATTATTTTACCCTTTGTAAGGCAAAAAGCATTAGTTTCATAAAAACATAAAAGGTTACTTTTAAAATTATATGCATGAATTTGTTATTCTCTGGATATTGTACTATCTCTGAGCTTGTTCCCAACAGAAGTCAGAAAATAAATTTTAAACCCACCCACAAAGAAAGGCCCAGGCCCAAATGACTTTACCACTGGATTCTATCAAAGATTTAAAGGAGAAATAATACCAATTCTTCATGAACTAGAAGAAATAGAAGAGGAGGAAACACTTCCTAACTCCTTTTATGAAGCTAGGATAACAAAAACCAAGCAAAGTCATTTTGTAAAAACCACAGAGCGTCTATCTTACAGCTTGGAGGCAAAGACCCTCCATAGAACACTAGCAGCGGAAGTGAGCCTTACAGCAGGAGAAGGGGACACTGTCCCAGTGATGCCACCTGATCATGTCTGATGTGAAATCAACTCTTCCAGAATCACAAGGTCAGTGTCTAAACCAGAGGAAGTCACACATCACACTGACTGCATGAAAACCTGTGAGACTCACATTCTAAGGAAACAATGTCCAGTTACCAGAAAAAAACTCCTAATATACTAGCCTTTCCATTGTCTAGTCTTGAAAGTATGAATGGACAGATAACATACCTTAAATTACAACTTACTTAGCAGTATGGAGATTAAACCCAAGGCCTGGTGCACACTAGGCAAGCACTCTCCCACTGAGCCATTTCCCTGGTCATTTTTTTATACCACTGAAACAGGGTCTCACTAAGAGCCAAACTGGCAATCACTCTGCCTCAGCCTCCCGAGGGTGGGATCATAGGAGTGTACCACCGTGCCAGTCATAAATTATTTCTGAAATTAGGAAATGCTTATTCTAAAACAGACTATAAAAATGATAAGCAAAATCATACCCAACGTGAAGGGTCACTGATCAAATTAATAAACTGTGCTGATAACTTGGTCCGTCGGATTTCTTGACACGTTGCACATGAGACTGCCATGAAGCACTCAGCACACGCCTTCCGGACTCCCCACACGTTGTCAGAACAAAGCTGGAAAAACCTGGGCAGCTATGCCAGAGGAGCCTTTGTTAGTCACACAGACAGGGCTCTGCAGCAACTTCACTTTCATTTCGTTTCCAAGTCTTTTAAACAATGGGTTTTCTTAAGTAGGTAATTACTTAATACTAATATTTAGTAATTTTTAATAAATCGCATCTAATTCACAACTGACTATACAAACACAAAAGCACTCCCAACAAATGGAGGTCTGTGTTACTGAACAGCTTGTAGCTGAGTTATCTCCACAGACATTTGCAGACACTCTTGAAGGTACGAACTGATCATCAAGCACGTATGTCCCATGTGCTACCACTTAAAACTAACCAGCTGTAGATTTAATGTGCCACCAAAAACTTGAGGGTTGCAATAAAATTAAAGGTTCAATTTAAAAAGTTACAGCTGATTTACTTGACAGAAGTGGTAAAGGTAATAACAATCCTGTGCTTCACAAACTGTCCTTAGTAAAGCACAATCCGAGTGCCCAGGTTACGGAAATTTAAACTTCTCAACTCAAAGCCATTATCATCTTTCTGGTTTAAACTCATGGAGCTGTGCTAGTACAATTTTGGGGTACATGCATTTTGGGCTTCCCGCACTGCTCTGTAACACACTGTACCTGCTGTACTTACCAACATCTCCTCAGTAGCTTGCTGGCCAACGACACTGCAAATGTCCCCAAAATTGGCGGCACAGACCTGACAACAAAGGCATCACTGGCATTTCAAAGTATCACACATGCAGAGTTCTTAGAAACAGTCTATTAAATTGCACACATCAGTACCTTACCCATCAGAAATATATGCTCTTATATGGAAGAAAGTGAGTCACAGTACCTTCCGAACATGGAACATTCTGCAGTCGCAGCACATCTCACAGAACCGTGGGAGGAGGAGGCGCTCTGTGATGCCCCTCCCAACCATCGGCGCCATCCTGCACATCACCTGGAACAGGGAGAGGCATGCACTGCAAACACATCCTCAGCTGCAACAACTCAAGACACACACTATGATGTGGCACTGTTACACTGCATGCACCACAGAAAACACCCACAGCCAATTATTGCTTCTACCAAATTCTAAGAAGGAAACAGAAAATAGATATTAAGTACTATCATAGAATTAACCAATAAATACTAAAAATAAAAAAGCACACAGAATATCCTAAAAAATTCATTTCAGTCCACATTATTTAACCATCATTACTTAATTTTGCTGGTTACTCTAGAAGTCAACAACAGCAAAACTCTACATTTCCTAGTAAAAGAATGAACACTGACTGTTGAAAAGATTCCACCAGAGGGTCTGGGTTGAGTGTCCCTGTACTGTGCAAATTCCACACACAGGCAGCCCTGCCCCACAGAGCAGCAAGCTAAGTCAAGCTGTGACCCAGTTCTGCAAAGTTTCAGCTCAAGGGAGGCCAGGACACAGCTCTGTCCACGCAGAGGAGGATCAACTTACAGGGAAGTACATTCCCCTCACACTTCATATAGGAAGAATTACGAATAGTCCATCGTCATTTACCAATGACACCTGTTCCTAGACTGGCCCAGTATGACAATAAAACGTAAAGGGCACACAGAATGGGAAGAAAGAAAGCACTCTTTATTCATATATGACATGTTGTCTAAATAGACAATCCCAAGAATCTATAAAGAAGCCACCAGAACAAATGAGTTTAAGAATTAAGAAGGCTGCAGGATATATACTGAAATGTAAAAATCTACCATGTTTCTATTAACAATGAAAACTAGAATTCTTTAAAACATTATCATTCACAATAATGTTGAAAAATATGCAATCTAGTAAAATACATGTAACATCTTTCTGCTGAATACAAAACATTGACAGTGTTAATCAAGATCCTTAAATAAATAAATGGAGAGATATGTCATGTTCATGGGCTCTGAGGCTGGCAACTCCCCTCAAACTGATCTATAGATTCAACACGATTCCTCCCCAAATCCCAGCATCATGCGAACTGCAGAGAACGTGTATATTTTCCAAGACTAAAGGCCAGCTTTTTTTTGTAATAAGCATTACTCAAAACCTAGTTAAAAACCCGGAGTTACACCGTATCACTCATCTAGGACAACTGAATTTATTAGAATGAATTATTTCTAAAAAAGAGACTAACACAAGGCATGACACGACAAACTTAAGTCAATTGTTGAGAGCCCTACCAGTGCTGGACACAGTCTTGTATTAGAATGTTTTGTTAATTTAAAATCTCATCCAAAATTACAATCCAGCAAAGTTAAATTCTGCTTAATAAAGACCAACAGTTATGCCCACTGCGATTTCCTTTACTGAGGAATTTCTAAAAATGTTTTGAAATTAGGTAGAGGCAGTGGTTGATTGAACCGCATAGTTTTAAGATGACTAACTCTATATTACGTAAATTTCACTTCAATAAAAATATCCTGAGCTAGGGATGGTGGCACATGCCCTCTAATCCTAGCACTTGGGAGACTGAGGCCGGAGGATTGCTGTGAGTTCAAGGCCAGCCTGGGCTACATTGTGAGTTCAAGGCTATCCTAAACTACATAGACCCTGACTCAAAAAACTAACAAACAAAAAACAAACAAACAAAAATCACTGAGAAAAAAAAATACACTTATTATTAACTGGTAACTATCTAAAAATAAAAATAAAACCAGGAAATTTTTCAAGGCAAAGAAACTAGAGGCATCATCTAATTTATCTACTACTGATGATCAAGAAGCGCCATAACACTTGGGTACCCTTTTTTTTTTTTATAGCAACAAAGATGCAATTACATTACTTTAGGTATAAAGGTTGAACACTCACATTCTAAACAGATTTGAATACATTTTCAGATCAATTTATCACTTTCCTAATTTACCATCAGAATTCTTAATATATGAACTCAGGTACACAGATGTGAATCACAACAGCTATTACTAAATTCTAACTCATGTCCTGTGTATCATGGCCCTTTTAGAAGATTTGCTAACCATGTTAAAAAAACCCCAGAAAACCCACTATTAGCCTTGACTTTATTATGTGCACAATGGCTTAATAGTCTGCATATTTTTCTAATAATTATCGCTGATTACTTGCATGACTGTTGTCCTCTCAAACACCGCACTCTAAGGGCAGGAGCCAAGCCCTGTGTCTTGCACTTCCATTGTCCTTATGCAGTGTCTAGAAAAATACTCAGCAGCAATGAAAGGTGTTCAAATGTTGCTGTTGAATGCCACTGGTAATACCATCTTATTTCTCTATTTCGACAAAACAATGTATTTAGCGTTCCCTATTACTGTCTTACTGTGGGAAGATCACCTTTTCCTTCAGAAGCCCTGGTGCCCCTTCTGAGCTCCCTGTATTTCAGATTTAACAATTTATGGCTACCTCAGAAGGATGTGTTACACGAGACAGGCCCCTGACACATGATGAGTGCTCTATGCCAGCTAGAACTGCATGGAAAACGCTGTCGTACTTACGGCCACGGCCTCTGTCTTCACGTCGTCGTTGCTGTCAGGTGCAGTCAGCTCTATGAGGACAGGGCACACTTTGGTCTCCACATCAAAGCGCTCGATCAGCTCCTGCTCCAGCAAAGCCAGCAAAGCTGCTTGGCTTGTTTTCCTCACCTAGGGGGAAAAAGGGGGGAAAAAACAGTATAAACAAAAGACTTGCATGCATGATATGATAAAACTCTGTCACTTGATTTCTACAAATTTGAAGACTGCTCATCTCAATTTAAAAGAATTCATAACTTGTTAAAACCTTGCAGATAAGTATTTGTGGCTTTATTCAACTGTTACGAAGTAAGTCTTTGTGACTGGGTAGACTGTTGTGAGAGATGAAGTGGAACACAAAAGCCAACCTGTGAAGATGTCTCTCTCACAAAGTAACATGCCCAGGGACACCTAGGAGGTGCCAAGTCAAGAGTGCAGTGACCAGGGCTGCCCACCGTGGCATAAAAGGGACCTAATCTGTCAGATGCTCAGCACATCTACAACAGAGAAAAATAACCAGGCCACTCTTCAGAAACAGAGCACTCTCACCTGGTTGTTCTGATCTGCCAGATACCGCACCACAACGGGCAGCAGGTACTTGGAAAAGGCACAGGGGATGGTAGGCCGGCTCTCCTGGCAGAACAGCGCGAGGTGAGGCACTTGCTCCATCAATTCTGCGCGCACCGTGGGCTCTGGGGAGACAGCAGCGATGTGGGCGGATGAGTTCTCTCACAGCAGCAGGCCCTCACCTTCTGGGCAGCCCAGCCCCACATCCTCGCTCGGCACAGAATGCACTAGCCCTGCTGTCTCTGCACAGCTACCCACAGGGCAACCCAGGAGGGCAAGGAGGAGCTGACGCCACCCGAGCCTCTGTCACTCTGTGCACGGAGCACACTTGACTTCCTTCAATAAACACATCTTACCCCGTATTTACACTGACACTGTGACAGGAACTATCTAGAAACTCCAGGATTTTTTTTTTTAATGGTACCAGGGATCGAACTCAGGACCTTGCACTTGTGAGGCAGGTGAGGTACCACTGAGCTACATCCCCAATCCTTTTAAACTCCAGGATTTAAAACCTCCTAGGACAAGATGTGAGGACTGGCTGCAACCCTAATGGAGTCTATCCAGATTTACAATCAGACTTGACTAAGACTAAAAAAGACAATGAATATTAAAGGAGATAAACAGATTTTAAAAAATAATAAAAAACCTGAAAAGACCCAAGTGCAGATGGCAGATTTACTTGTGACAAACATGGCATTTCAGATCTCTGGGTTTCAAAGGATCAACTACCAGATAAATAATGAGACAAAAATTAGCTAATTATGTGAGGGGAGAGTAAAGAGTCCCTACTGCAAACCGCCCATCAGTTTCAATGAAACAAAAGTTTCAAACTTAAAATCCTGAAACCACTAAAAGATACTTTTAGCAGAAATGTTCAACTTGGACTTGAGAAGACAAAAACCAAATACCCACTAGTTTCATTTTATAAAAATTTCACTACAGATGACAGATACCATACTAGCTAAAAGGCCAAACAGCCTAGGAGAAATAAATGTGCATAGCATAGGATTAATAAATCAACTATACAAAGAGCTCACTGCTCAAATATAGGAAAGAAAAAGAATGAATAGGCAATTCGTGGAAGATACACAGACACACACATTCAGACTATTAGTAACAAGTCATCCCATCAGGACTGCATTATTAAAATTAGGTAAGTATGAATGAATGTGCTCAACCTAATTTCACATCTCAAAAAAGAAATTAATATGGCTATCAATAAAAACACACTGAGCCGGGTGTGGTGGTGCACGCCTGTAATCCCAGCACTTGGGAGACTGAGACAGGAGGACTGCCAAGAGTTCGAGGCCAGCCTGGGCTACATAGTGAGTTCAAGGGCAGCCTGAATTACAAAGGGAGACTGTGCCTCAAAACAAATAAACAAACAAAGAAACACAGCATAATAACATTTTACAAATTTAAGAATCTTAGCATTTGGAATTTCTATTAAATTGTGGCATGTGAAATGAGCAGTAGTACTTACTTCTGGTTTTGAAGAATAAAAATATTAATCTGAAAACAGATATATAGATCTAACTTTTTCTCAATGATCCTGAATTTGCTAAGTTAACATTGACCTAATTACTTCTATGTATTTTTTTGAAGCAAAAAGAGCACACAACTTGCAGTTTCAGTTAAGAATGAAACCAGGTCACGCGGAAGATGCCGAATCAGCCCGCTGCAGACAGGCAGGTCTGTGCATGCCCTACCGAGGTCCTGAGTCACGAAGAAGACGTCGAATCACCCCGCTGCAGACAGGCAGGTCTGCCCACACCCTGCGGAGGTCCCCAGTCGCATGGAACACATGCCGAATCAGCCCGCTGCAGACAGGCAGGTCTGTGCACGCCCTACCGAGGTCCTGAGTCACGCAGAAGACACCGAATCACCCCACTGCAGACAGG